ATAATAGGTGTAAAATAGGGTCTGTCTTTACTTGTGGATGAGAATCCTTTCGGCCTTGAAGCAGCAGGTGGGCGTATATCTGTGTGTTTTATCTGTGTCTGTAAATTGATAGGGATTTGTGGTGCCTGAGGCAGCCTGCTGATCCACACAGTTTGAATTGGGAGTAGTGTGAAAGCTCTGTGCATTCTGGCCATTTAATTGAGTCTGCTGAGGAAGAAATGTGCGACCAATCACATCATTAAGGTGTCACATATACATCTCCCCTCCATAAAGGTCAGCATTTACCGACTTCACGTCCGTAGCTGATGCTTTGCATCTGCTTGAATGTGTTCCATCGTTAAAAAAAGCGTTTTGTTTGTGCCCGATGGCGCAGTAGCTCCCAGAGTTGAGATGAGCCCCGACCCTCCAAAACTGAAGGGATGGTGATACAAATGTAAGTGCTCAGAAGTTGCTCGAAATCAAAACAAAACATCAAAAAACATTAGAGGGGGGAATGGGGCCAACAAGTTCACATACCGTCCACTTGTCGGGGTTAAAAGTCGTAGAAAAGAAAGCAACCGCCCGGTGTAAAGCACAGTCGCACATCCTGCTGACCTTGAAGAGAGCAACAACACGCACAAACTCCCTCTCAGGCATAACGCACAGGAAGGAGCAGATAAGAACAACAGCTTGTTCCTCTAAAGGCCTCCTCTCTCCTCTCTGTGTTCGGGCGTTTATCATGTCTTTGGCCGCGGTTGAATTAATCTGAAAGTCCAAAGAGGTGTCCACATACTCATAAGGATGTGAGATGAAGGGGGTGTAATAAAAGGATTTTTGGAGCCAGCTGGGCAGACGAGGTGGTGGGGGGCCCACAGATGGCCATAGATGGGGGGTAACATCCTTATTTGTGTGTGTAGAGGGGAGTAAGAACCAGGATAGACACAACAGTAATGTTTGGGCTGTGAAGGCGGTGGACTTTTGTGTGGATAATGGGGAGGGGGGTGGGGGGTCTGAAACACAGAGATAAAGTCTTTGTGATGTCATTCCTTTTTGGGGGTTTTAGTCCATGAATATTACCCTAAAGTGTTAAAAAGCACAGCTCCATTTCCATGAAACATGGGTGCTGGTGTGTCTGCTGACGTCAGAATCTATGACCTAAAAGATGTACAGCTTTCATACAAGCAGAAACACTTGATGTAAGTGGCTCCACAGAGACAACATCCACTCTTATGTCCTGATGGAGGAAGTGACCACTGAGCGCCGATCAGTGGCCAGTATGCTGCCACATTCCAACCTCCACATTCCAGTAGCTTAGCTTGCCAGCTCACTGAGTTGTTAATGAAAAAATATGTTAAGCAGTATGTTTACGTCACTTGCCATTACATCTGCAAACCTTTTAAGTAAATGGAAGATTTTACACTGTCAGGATTGAGTCATATAACAGTTAGTGGTGTGAAAAGAACACTGCCTTTTACTTCAATCATAATGTAGCCAAGAGTAATTTGTAACTGCTCAAAAGCACATTTTATTAAAGCTCGTCAAACTTCACACCGGCATGAAAGCCTTGCAGTGATTCACCTCTCAGAATGAGCCGAAGTGGAGTTGTTTTTGTTGCAGGTCTGACCTGTTCCTTATGTTGACATTAAAGTGACGGCTGCATTACTGACGCCATGAACACGTCCACTCAGACTATTGACTCACCTGACAAAGGCTCAACTGTTAACCCCACCCACTTAAGAATGTGAAAAGAAAGCCTCCGTGTTCAATACTATCTCACAAAATCAGACTCCAAGTGAGCAATGAACAGCCACCCGGTGTTTTCCAGCAACACCTACCAAGATGTCAGTGGCTGTATGTGAAGCCAGGCCACAGAGCACTGTGCTCAGTCAGCATACTACCTTAAGTAAGTGGTCATCCTGCTGTGACTGGCCATGGAAGAACTGCGGTTCAACCAAGCCTCCTGGCCTCCCACCATCAATGCATGGAACCACAAGTCTTACAGGAGCCGGGTTGGTGTACCATCGCAAGCGTAAAGATTTGTATTTGAACTCCTGCGAGCATTGTTAGGGATGCACGTTACAGTGTGAGGACATTATTTGCATTTTCTTTGTAGCATATTTTTATCCCACATGTTTTTGTGGAGTACATTTGTTAAGAGCCCCGGTGTATTTGGGATTCGTAGGCTGCAGCTGCTGTGAGTGATCAAGTATCTGTTCTGTATTCCTGAGGCTGTGTTGCAAGATTGTTGCTCCTTTAATTATTCTCTCATATTAAAGGATCAAAGGTCTCTGGCATAGTCAACTCGCTGCATTTCATTATAACTACATACACACATCTATGCCTCCGCTCGCACCCACTTTCACATCTGCAGGATATCAGCTTTGTTCGTTTTTTGAATTTTGAGCACAATTTCCTGTGATTACGGAAGGATAAACGTCGGCCTAGTCAACCATTCCATTGTGGAGTTCAGTAGTTTTATTCTCGATTTGGCTCCTCTGCAACTTTTCTTCTTTCAACCAAAAGCCTGCCCTAGTCCTTGGGCGGGTGTTACTGATCACCCCGTGGCAGGAGGGATGGAGCATGTTTTATTCTCCTCAATAAACTACTTTTATGTCCATGCTGTGTGTGTGTGTGTATGAGAACACGTGTTTCTCGTGAGTGAGTCTGTGCTTTGTGATATTTGCCCTTCTGTATCTCAAGCTAACTGGACCCGGCCAGTCCTCTGTTGCATTCCAGAGGATTTTCCCACTGACGGGCTGCTCCAGCTCTCCCTGCTCAGACACCTACAGCTCCCCGGTGCTCCCATGATGCCCCTTGGCTGTCACCACTCTGCTGCTGTCGGTTGGCAGGAGGGGAGGATGCTGAGTGTAATTAGGGCGTATCCAAAACCTACCAGGGCCGGAGACGAGGAAGGGGAAGAAGGAAGGGAAGAGGAGGGAAACGGGGATGACAGGTTGACATCAGTTCAACACACCGACTCTGTAATTGCTGGCGTGCATATGGTGGAGGCTGAGGTTGGAGGCTTGTGGGAGGTAGGGGGTCAGGTTATATAGGATATGCAACAGATGAGTGCATGTCAACCATAGTGGGGGGAAGAACGGGGCTGAAGATGGAGTAGAAGAGGAGTGGAGGGGGATGGGACCTGAGCAGCAAGAATGAATTTTGAGGTGACTGACACATAGCAGGGTGTGCAGCATATTGACACAGCATGTGTCTATTGTAACAGGCACACACACACACTTCAACAGTAAAGCACCCTCCGCTTCTGAGGTTCCTCAAAAAGCACCACAGGTGGTACAAATAGAAACAGCTGTGTGTGTTCTTATGCTGGTTCACACACTTTGGCGTTGTAACCACCAAATCCAGCCCCTCTTCTGCTAATGGCACACACAGGTAATAGAGCCGTTGGACATGGGCGTGCACATACCCTAAATCACAGAAGGGATATTGATCACGGGAAGGTGTGCATGCGTGTCCCGTCTTGACTGAAGGATCATTATCGATGGTCTTGTCCAGATGATAAATCGTCAGTTTCACGCGGTAGCTCTGCTGAGCAGGAAGCGGCTTTGGCAGGACCTGCTTCCTGGAACTCACTGGCATCCCCGGCACACCGACACAAAATCAAGTTTCCACTCCTCTGCCTCGTTTTCTCTCAAAAAAGTGCCACCCCATTGCTCTTGGATTCATTTTCACAGTTACTATGATGTAGAAGGTGGATATACATTTTTTTATTTTTGTTCCCCTCTCTTTAAGTCTCTTGTCATTTCACCTCTCATTGCTCCATCTATCTTCGATTCACATTTGCTGGACCATCCCAGATTCCTGCTTCCTGTCACGTCTGTCCGCCTCATTTCAGTTTTCATCAGTTGTGGCACCTCCTCCTCCTGCTTCTCTGCACTGCTATTTTCTCCCTTTTTATTCTCTTCCCTCTTTGTCTGACTACTTAACTTTAGACTACTCCGCCATGCACCACCACCTCCACCCCTTCCCCATTCCATACTCCTTTTCCCTCACATGTTCTCCTTCGCTGACTCCCAGCACTCCCTTCCTCTCTCTCCTCTGCTCCGTCACCCCTCTATAAAGACTCCCACAGACGGACCTGAACCTTCTGCCCGAGCCACATTCTGCCCTTCGTTCTTCTCTCTTGCTGCTCCATGTGAAGAGAAGACCAATTAAAGTCCATCTCCTCTCTTCCTTCTCTCCGTTGTTCTCCTCTCTGTGTGTCTACACTCAGACTCTCTGGGGTCACTAATTAAAGCACTTTACTTTCTTCTCTCTTTTGTTCACTTTATTCACCTATTCATCTAACTTTTCCCTCCTTTTTTTCTTTCTTTGCTTCTTGTTGTTTGCCTTTCTGCACAATATTTAGTCAATCTCAGTTTTCTCCACCCCTCCTTTAATTTGTCCCCTATTCCAGAGAAGTTAGAATTTGAGGATTTCTCCATTTAAAAGTACATCTGAAATGTCCTTCTTTCCTTTTCTTCCATGCTTGGTTTATTCCTATTACTCAGACCTTGACCATTTGTATATTCTACCCCAGGTGTCACAAAGCCAAAACATTGTCTGAAGGAACAAATGTTATGGAATTGTCCAGTGTTGCTATTGTGCCAGGCGTCCTAAATTCACATGGTTGCATATTCACTTTCGGTTTATATACGTCTATGCCCGTCTGAGCTCTGCAGTGGGAGCTGGGAGCAAAGAGAATCCGATTTGCTTTACTCTCAACACAATTCAGTGGTGTTAATTAGCATGGAAAGAATTGTTCTTTCTGTCAGATGGTCAGAAACTCTTTTTTGCTCTTCTGCAATTAAAATGAAGTTGTGACATGTAAAATCCCAAACCTTGCAGAAGAACCTGAAAGCCTTCATCCCCAACTGTAATTGCGTAATTGATGAACTATCAATCTTCTGGAGGTACCCATATCACCCCAGGCTTACCTCGTTTTTAATCAACACCTTAGTCATGTATATCCTTGTAATTGATGCATTAAATATTTAAAATTCTATTATTCTATCTTCCAGGTTACTAGCAGGAGATCTGTCCGTCCAGATGAATCTCAATGATTACCTGGACATCTACTGCCCCCACTATGCTGAAAATGGTGCCCCAGGTCCTGACCAGCCTGAGATGTTGGCTCTCTACCTGATAGGAGAAGAATCATTCCAAGGCTGTGTGGAAACCAGAGGGGCCATCAAGCGGTGGGAATGTAACGCCCCATTTGCTGCGTTCGGCCCAGTGCGTTTCTCCGAGAAGATCCAGAGGTTCACTCCCTTCTCACTGGGCTTCGAGTTTCTACCAGGGAGACATTACTACTATAGCTGTGAGTAGGCAATATGTCTGTGTGTGCATGTTTACGTTGCATGTTTGGAAGGTACACTTGGTGAAAAAGTTAGCCATTATCTTTAAGGACTGCCGCCAGTCCTTAAAGTGTGTGGCCCACACGCATTTCTGCATGTTTGGATCGGTCTCACAAACCTGTGGAGCAATGTGAGATGTGGGGCAGGCACAAGCATTGTTTGGATGTGAAAAAGATAAAGTTTCATCACATACACATACAAGCATCGAAAAATGTATTTATTTTTACTATCTAAAAGTTTCTGTCCAATGAAAAAGACAAAAAAAACAACCAGAAATACAGATAGCTTAGTCACAACAACTTTTCTGACAGTACTAACAAATGATCTTATACCGTGTGTTCTTCACAATGTGCGGCCAAAACTCAGTCAAAGACCAGAGGGAAAATGCTGTTATTCTGCAGCAGAAACGATGTCCTATCACCAGAGGCAGGATGGATATAGTCGGAGAATAACTTAAAATGTGTCATAGGGTCATAATAAAACAAATCTGTCTTGTGATGGAGCAAAAACAAAAAACTAACTAAAAATTGAAGATTGCTCAGAGCAGCTTTTTGTGTTGTCCTTTTTTCATCCTTCAAATTAAAATTACTGTTGTCAGCCCCTTCTGACTGTACCGTCAACCAGCCAAGATTCAACCCATATACAGCGTCATATATGACTACTAAGCACTGTCAGGACTAATGCAGGTTCATCTGTGTTGACTGGATAGCCAAACTCCTTCACCTACTTGCAGTGACATTGAGGTCACACACTGATAGTTATGACCATAAATTATTGACTGAAGAGGGCCACAGCAGGGGGAGGAACATATATCAAATGGAATTCGTCAATTACCATGACTTCATTTTATCTGAATCTCTGAAACCAAAAGCCCAGCTATTTTTTCTTTTTATATATTTTCATGTGGATATTCAGAAAGTTAAATAAAGGTAAGTAAACAATATTAGTAAAAAAAAAAAAAAACATGAAAAAAATTTCCAAAATCACATAGATTCATCACATCAGGGGGAAGTGAGTAGAATGTCTCTACTCAGCATTTTGAAGGCAGCTTGTCCTATTTAAACCTCAGTTAGTTTGGGGCGCTCTGACTTCTGAAGTGAGAGTGAACACCAAGGGGACAGAGCTGGGTGAGGCCATCAGAAAGAAGATTGTAGGGGCTTATAAGCCTGTTAGGAGATTTAAGAAGATCTCCACAGACTTTGAAATCAGAAAACCCACTGCCCTGAAAACAGTCTAGGCGTGGATGACATTCAAACCAACATAACCTGGTCTGACTATTGGAGCATAGAAAGTGTGTAAGCATAACGTTGCAAGAAAGCATGCAAAGAGAATACCATTACTCTCTGAAGGAAACATGGGTTGCCAGCTGAAATTAGCTAAAGCGAACTTAGACAAAGACTTTGACTTCTGGAATAATATTCTTAAGACAAATAAGAAATAATTGAACACCAGACAGGACGACATGTCTGACATAAACCATATTGTTCTTTATACGTTTTTCCTTTTTAAAGAACACTTAAAATAATTCTTGGAAATTCAAATATTTGGTTTGTCTATTTTAGGAAAAAGAACTAGCATCACAATGTTGTTTTATGCCATTCAGCGTTGGCATAATGCAGCTAGATCTATTATTGTTCGTTTCATTGGTAAATGCAGAAAGACATTTCCATAAACCTGTAGACTTTTACGCAGGGTGATATCTCCGTGACAGCTGCCTAAGACGGAGAGAACCACGAGTTGGCTTGGTGGTTGGAGAAAAAAAAGTCTCACTTTTACAACTTCTGGTGTCAATCCAAACGGAGGAGTACATGAAACAACAAGACAGAGAAGGAAAGAGTCAAGTGAACGCATAGAATAAAAGGATGACTACAAAGAGGCAGTGAGATGGTAAAATGTTGGAGGAAGAAATGGGGATCGATACGGGACAACAGGGAGCAAAGAATACAGGCAGGCAGAGAAGCGGGTGGAGGTGAAGAAGCGTTGAAGAGTGACAGACGGAGAAAAAGAGCGAAAGATGGACACAGACTGACAGTATCGAGAGGGAAGGGGGGAGAAAGGGATGAGAGAGGATGGAAGAAAGGAATCCACCCTGGAGGAAAAAAAAGGGAGGGCAACAAAAGAGAAGCAGAAAAGGGATGGACCATTTGAAGGAAGAGAAAGAATCTTTACATAAATTACTGTTGCAGACCAAAGGACAATGGAGTATTGTAAGGGTATGAGAGACCGACTCCACACACACATATGTGTACACACATGCACACTGGGCTATTGTGGTTGTTCATGCCAGTCCACAGAAAAGTAACAATAGGCTCCCCCCCCCCCCGGTCGGGCCACTCTGGGCCCAAAACGATTGTATGTGTTTTTGTCCACATCAAAGATAAGGCGTAAAGTTGGTCCAAATGCCTGGCTCTGGGGTGTGTGTGCCGAAAGGGCCTGCAGCACTGGATACTGCATAATGGCATTAGTCTGGGAGAGCAGGACAATGGTATTAGAAACACTAATGGCATTAGTTTGTTCAGTCTGAGCTGGGTTAAGCTCATCCCTTCCATTGAGTATGACACCCACGACCTACTCTCATCTGGCCCCTGCCAGACTCCACAACCTGCTGACTAAAACCCACAAGTTCTCCATGTCTGGGTTACAAAAAAACAGGAAACACCTTTACATCCTCCGATAGTCGGCCGCCCGCTAACATGGAACAATTTAAGGGCACGGTAACAGAAACAAAAGAGAGCTCAGTTCTTGGAATCTCATGAGCAAATGCACGAAAGCATAAAGCCAATTAACAGATTTTCTGTCACTGCTTTGACAACACCTGCTCTGCATTTTCCAAATCCACACACCACAAACCGTTTTCAGACACACAGCAAATCGCTGAGCATGACAGATAGACAAACACGCACCCTGAAATTGAGAGAGTGCAAAGTTTTGGGAGTTGCATGGATGACTGATAAGCAGGTATTACAATACTCTGTTCACAGCAGAGACAAGCTTTTTCAGTTGTTAACCATCAGTTTAATGTAAAAGACTGAATGGGTGTGCTCTTTTTTTTTTCTTTTAAAAGGAGGGGAAACTGCAGGATAAGATGATGACCTCTTTAGACCTTTTAAGCCTCGCTCACTAGTCAAACAAGCCCAGAATCAGCCTAATGCTCCTCCCTACTTACAATGTTTTGAGATTGTAGACCACATAAATTGGCATCACTCATCACTTCAGAAAAAAAAAAAATATTTCCACCACTACCTTCCTTTTGGCTCCCTGTACTCATTTTTTTCCTTCTTTTTTTCCCAATGTGCATCACATGATGGAGACACAACTTTGGCCCTACAGAAGTGAGGCTGAATTATACCGGTTATGACCCCAAATCATAACGGCAGCCCTAGAAACTGGCATAAGCTATTAGCCTACAGTAAACTGCTGAGTGCATTCTGATCAGGCTGTGTTGTCATTTTAACTCCTGATAGTTAAATCAAATTAGAAGTGCTCAGTTTCAGGGTCCTGGTCATGCACACTGGTTTAGTGTCAAGCTGTTGTGGCTTTCAGGGACTCTTGACTGTGATTGATCTTGAGTTGAAGAAACTGCTCTTATTGGCCATTAAGAGGTTTTTTTTGCTTTCAGATGGAACTGAGTAGACGTATATATGATTACTTGTAGAATGACGTGTGCTGTAATACCAAAGCAAAATTACTGTAAATTAAATGTCAAAGGTATATTTGGACCTAAATAGGACTCCATGAAAGTGATTCCTGGTGCATTTCTCCAGTGTCACTGCTAATAAACCGTGATGATTCGGTTTAAATAAGAGTGTTCAGTTGCGTTTTCATTCAATTTAAGGCACTAAATCACAAAGATAATTTATCTGGCCTTTAAATGCGGCAAACTCAGGATGTATGCAAATTTTTTTCTTTTTTCTTTTAAAGCTGAGAATATTGTGCCACTGTTAAAATATCCTAAGTATATTGTAAACCGATTTCCTGAAAAACTGTGAGGCAATAATTATTACAAATTCTCTTCCCAGCAGTAACAATCCCTCTTATTGATCAATGGTTTATCTTTTTTATAATTATTTTAAGCTAGAAAAATCCCCCCCCTTTCCTATATGTAAATGCATTATTTTTGTAAAGCTTCTAAAATTAAATGTTTCACTTCAGATTGGTTGTGTATTGGCAAAAAAATTCTAAAGCTATGCAGCTGTTCAATTACTACAACATAGTACTACAACATATATGAACCACAAAACATATTTTTAGAGATCCATTACATGAATTTAATTGTGTATTGTCTTTGGTTCTTATTGTAATTCCAACTGTTGAATTAGTTTAGATCAAATGTTGCTCTTGTTTTTTTAAATGATTTTTTAAATAAAAATTTGTAATTTTTTTTTAATCTGGAGAATTTCACATTTATTTTCTCAATCTTCAGCGGGCCCCTGAGAAGGATTTTCCACTCATGAAACCCCTCAAAAGTCCAGTACTCAGGACAAAAGATTAGGCAAAAAATTACCAAATGATGCGTAGTCACTTCAGAAGTTTGTGTCGCGATGGAGTTCAGTTTGGTTTGCTGTGTGACACTAATTGTCTACAGCAGGCCGCTTGTCGTGTGTTCTATATGCGTTCTGTGTCTTCTGTTTTTTTCATTTTTGCCTCGTGAACTGAAATTCAGTGTACAAAGTCAGACGAAGTATCAGTAATCATGTAGGCTGGTGTCAACCATTTGTGAAAAATGTATTTTGTGAAAGCAGAAAAAACATATATTGATAATGTGACTGATTTGTTTTCCCCACGTGAGTCACGATCGGACAAGCTTAAATAATAGCTGCACAGGCCTTAAATGTAGTGTCTTGTTTTTGATAAGTGAGATATACCCGTGATAGAAAAAAAATCGAAACACAACGCAAGAGATCTTAGAAAAAATATTTTTTTAACTTCTTTTAAGTAACGTTCAACATATGTAAATTCCTTTTTTTAAGCCACGTTAGCGTCCTGAATTCTAACTGTTTGTTGGGTTGGATAAGTGAGCAGCTTATTTACATCTTGTTCTCCACAGCTCTGCCCACAGATGAAGGCCCTCCTCTGCCATGTATGAAGTTACGTGTCACAGTGTGCTGCGCGCCCAGTGAGTACACTCCTCTTTTCATCTGTTCATCCTTTCATCCTTCCCTCTTTGTACACCAAGAGACTATTCCAGCTCTTACATCTGCACTATCAAGGCAGCAGCTACAGAATGGTGTTTAAACTCCTACTCATCCTCCCTCTTCTTTAACCTTGGATGATGAGACGACTTTAAAAAACAGAAGGACTTGGCTTTTAAACTAAATTAGTTTCAGCATTTTTTAAGCATCAGTTTCCCGTTGAGCAAATGAGGCAGCATCCCTCTTTTTTTTTTCTCCTACCTCCTTGTCATTCTAATTCTCCCACTCCCCATCTCTTTTTTCTCAGTGTGAAATTCCCAGAGTTGATCTAATCCAGAGCCCGCCTGGAGTAATGTTAGTCTTCCAGTCCAGTGAGCTGCCTATTCCGGTTGGGAATGTTGCCCAGTCACTGTGGGAATCCCTGTACAGTTGTGGGTGTGTGCGCCTTCAATGTGTCTATGCACTTTGTGTGTGTGTGTGTCTTTTTTTTTCTGCTCTCCTGCATGAGTCTATGGGCCTTGCGTGTGATCTTTGGCAGTTGAGGCTGGGTGTGTGTGTGTGTGTGTGTGTGTGTGTGTGTACCGTCGCCCGCATGTCTGAGACGTCTGTCCCAGTTCCCATCCCAGCGTTATCTGCAGGGGGCTTGTTGTGCTGTCCCAGACTGAACTGACACTTTTTCTTTTTCCCTGAGAGAAACTGGTTACAAGGTTGTCAAACTAACGCTGCCACGATCGCGCAGCCATGATTGAATTTATCACTAAAGCTTTAAGGCGGGTGTGTGCGTGGGGGGGGGGGGGGGGGGGGGGTGGGGGGGGGGGGGGGGGGGAGTATCAGCTGCCGTAACAAAAGCCTCCCCATCCATCTCAAATGAATTCCTAAATGCCATCGCTGCAACAGAAGGTAGAGCTTAATTTGCTGTTATTACCTAAGAGAAAGATGAGGACTTTTGTGTGTGCTAATTGTCTTGTCATTAATTAGAAATACCTCAGATAGTTGTTCAGGGAGAAAATGTTAATGTATTCTTGACTGGCCGACAGAATTCCCTGACCGGCCTCTCTGAGCCAAAAATAATCAAACAGTGGGAACTTCACCTGGATTTTATGCACGCCGGGAGAAACGTGCACAAACATTTCAGCTTACTAATCAAATCACCTTCATCACCGTGTTTTGTCTCCATGCCAGACGTTTTTTTCCCTCCTCCCTCTCATCCTGTTTCTTAACCAAAACTAATCCCAACTAAATTTCAGGATCTGCGTCTCCTTGTCTTTTACCTCCCCACCCCCCTACCTCTCTACTCCAACCTCCCGCTCTTTCTTTCTTCACACTTCTGTCATTCTTGAAGTGGCACTAATCCCCCCCTTCTCTCTGTCTCTTCAGCTTTCTCCTCCTTCCTCGTTTTTTATGATCTTTCGCTACTGGAGCAAAACTAATCTAGGCACCATCCTCGGCACTCTCTTACACATCCCACTCCCTCTCTTTAGGCTCCGCCCCACCACCTTTTTCTGGTTCCACCTTCCTTTTGTCGAACCTCTTTATCGGCTGTATAGTTATTCGCCGTCTCTCCCTTTATCCGGTTTCTCTGCTTGGCTCCATCTATGTCGCGCGCACGCTGTGCGGCGAGCGCGTGGGGACGGGCTCGCATGTGGCCAGAGAGACGAGAGTGAGCGAGATGGATGAGAGAGGAGATGAAGGAGATGAAGGAGAGTTGGAGGCTGTGTCTTGCCGTCTGTCCACGAGTGGCAGTTTACCACAGCTGTTGTTGTGTTGTTCCCTGTGGTAGCACCTCGCGTACTCCCCAGTTCCTTCCTGCTCAGGTTCCCTTTTATCTGACAGGTAGTGCTCCACGCGTGTGTGTGTGTATGTGTGTGTGTGTGTATCTTGTTTGTGTGCAGCTGGCTGTGATGGCAGCTCCTGTCCTTCAGCTACATCTCTTATCTATACTTTGAATTGTGTACTTCCTACTTTTTCTCTTTTCCCTTCCTTGAAAAAAAAAAAAAAAAAAAAGAAGCAGCTTGTGTGATTAAAAGGTAGTTCCACTTTGGGATTCTCCTGAATTAATGATCAGCACGCTCGTAAATAGAACCCCTCAGCCCCAGCACACCGGTCTGAAGGACAGAGGTGAGAGTGAGGGAGTCCATCAGGTACGCTGTCATTGCTCCAAGGTTAGCCAGCCCTCACCAGTCCCTCCATCTCTCTCCTGTGTGAGAATGTGTGTGTTTATCTCCTTAATTTAGCCGCAGTGCACTGAAAGCTACGATCCAAGGTTTCCGAAGGATGTCCTGTGCTGAGATGTCTGACCGGTTGCCTTTTTTTTGGTGTATTTGGGCGCGTTGTGTGACGCACGCTTAAGGTTTAAAGATGCGTTTCAGTGTTTTGACGCATGTATGGTGATGTTTAGTCAAACCCTGGCACTGTCACGCACCCGAGGAAAAAAAAGAGACTTCGCTGATAGGTGTTTAAACTGGTGTTTCATCAGAAAAATAAGCTGCAAAATCAGGAGCAGCACACTGGCGTCACGTGAAAATTCAAGCGCCCCGCAGCCTTTGTTGCATCTTCCTGTAGCTCTCCTCAGCTGCTACTCCATACTTACCTTTTTTTCGTGTGTGTTTTTTAAACTGCATCTTCTCCCTAAAACTCGTCCTGGGTTGTGTTTATCTCTAATTCTTTCCTTGTCGCCCTGCCTCTCGCTTCTTTAGCTGTCCCACTGTGAGAAACCATTACAGACCAACTTCCATCTCTCCCTAATTGATTCCCCTTCCCTCTCCGGCTCACTTCCCCTTTTTCTGTCATTGTCCTGCTGTGAGCAGTCCATTACATTTATTTCAGTTTGCAGAGCGTCACCATTCTCCTCGCTTTCTTTCTCTTTTTTTTTTTTTTTCCGCCGACCATTTTTTCTTTAATTTCTTGCATCCCTGCCCTCCTTAACCCCCTCTGCTCCCGCTCGGATACCTTTGTACCCCCTGAACTCTGCACTCAGGGATAAAACTTGAGCAGGCGTACATGCACGGCGCTCCCTCGAATCGCTTTCCTAAAACTCCAGTAATTTTACTTTCACCGTTTTTCTCGTCGCGTTCAAAGTTCGCTGTTTTTTTTTTTTCTTTCGCTCTTTTCGCAGTTTTTGGTGAGATTTGTAGTAATGCGCTAGCAGCCGGAGTTGGTTAGCGTTAGCCCCTTTCTGTATAAAATGGCGGCACGAGAGGAGAGATGGAATGGTGGAACATTGTGTTTGTAGAGAGGCGTTTTGCACTCACCCACATACACACCGTTGCAGGCGCGCGCGTGCACGCACACGTGCTCGTGTGTGTCCTTAACCGTGGTCGTGCACGAGCACTTAAACATGCAGCACGTGTCTGACTGCAGAGCAGGGCACTGTTCTTGCAGTCACGCCATCGCGGACACCATTTTGTGGCGGAGCTCGCCACCACCAAAATTTAGATGTCGACACAAGCCCTTCCCGTCAGAGCTCAGCTTTTGCACAAATGATGTGATTAAAGACAGATCAAAACACACAAATCACACACAGACGAGTAAACGCAAGGCATTTAAAGGGAACAAATTTTACCTTCGAGTTTGACGGCAAATTAAATGCACGGTAATTGTTTGCGGCGCTTCGTGGGAGTGTTCGAACCAAGATTATATATTTGATATAAAATCTTATTGACATAAAGAAATTGTTTTCAAACTTCCAGCTTTATTGCAATTTTATGTTTTTATTTGATGTCTTTATCAGGAGTCAAAATTCAAAGATACATTTTTTATTTTTAAATTGCATTAGTAGGCTAATGTAGAATGCTCGTATTGTTAGAACCTGTTTAAATTATTTTTGTAAGAATTCAATTTTAAATTTACAAAAGTAATTAGTGGATAAAATTTCAATTTTATTGATCTATTGCGCTCAGTGAATGCACATTTTCAGCAGAAAAATACAAGCCGATTTTTGTCTTTCTCCTCGTTTATTTTTCTGATCATTTCATGTGAGCGCGCTTTTAAAAGTTTCAATAGGCTGTTGTTCTTGTCCATTTGCCTTAATTTCTCCCTACAAATAGTCCTGCACACATGAACGCACACACACAAGCTGAGTGCAACGCTCGAGCCTAGCGTGCTATTTGATGCTTCGTTAACCCCTTGATGGTTGTTACTTGTACACAACCTGAGAGTAATTTAGTGTCATGTCAGCCGGAGCCTCTCATTGTTCAGCCGCACAGAGGGAGACTATCGGGTGTGGATCAGTGGTAGTTTTTCTGCCGTCAACAAAAGTGTGTATGGTTGTGTTTGTGTGCGTCGTAGGAGTTGTCAGGGTTGAAGTGTGGGAGCTGGGTTCCAGGCCATAGATCGATTTAATAAACAGTCGTGAATCGCATCTATTTTTTTTTCTTTTTCTTTTTTTGGGGTTATTCTATTGTTGCTCGCTCGATAACATGACGGTTCTATTTTTAGAGGATTTAGCTCTACTACTGTTATTTTTTTGGTTGTTTTGCCTCTTTCACCAAACCGCTCTCTACTCCTCCATCATACATCCCTCCATTATTTCCTTTCAGCCCCTCCTGCTGAGAAAGTGACGCCCAGACACAAACTCTCTTTCGTTCCCTCCCTTTTCTTTCTGTCTGACCTTGTTTCAATCTTTCCCAACCTTCTTTTATTATTATTTTTTTTCAGCGCACTTTCTCACTTGAGTCTCTACCACTCTCCCTTTCATCTTCTGTCCAATTCTTGGTTTCGGTCTGTCATTTTGAATTTTCTTGTATTTTTCCCCCTCTTTTTCATTTCCTGTATCCCCTCTGTATAATCTCCATCATTCTTACTCTTTCTAATTTACATAACACTATCTTTTCCTGTTGCCATGCTTCTCAAGCTCTCTTTTTTTTGTCCGACCTTTAAAAGAATTTGCATAGGGGACATATTTAGGGTTGCACAGCCAGTCAGTACTCATTTTTCATGGCGTTAGTGTTTGAGTAATGGTAAATACCTTCCCCTGGTCATTTGTCTGTTTCGTGCTCCTTTTGTTCCACAAAGCAGCAGCTTTATTGAGAAAGTTAAGTATGCAAAAAATGACTAATCAGCAACTTGCTTCTTTGCCTCAACTTTATCTAAATCTTTTTCTCCCCCTTTTCTTGCCTCTTACAGCATCAGAGGGTTCAAAACAAATACAAGGTGAGATGTTACATCTTCATGTATTCCTCTTTTTTTTACACAAGAATCTCTAAATGAAAATGAATGCAAATGTTTGAAAAAAAAAGTTGAAATTATGGGAAATTACTGTGTCGTTTTACCGGCCCCGACTCCTCTGGGAAGCGTGCGTGCTAGAGATTTAATCCAATTCGTCCACAAGTGATTCCATTAGCCATTAGCGACGCTGGGGGAGGAGATGTCAGACGTAAATCAGTGCTCCAATATGACCTAAAAGTGTTGGAAGCCGCTAGCCTTTAGGCTTTGCTTAAGCCAGCCAGCTTCTCCAGTAGTTCCACAGACCACTGAGTGCCTTCTTCAAACTTCTACTGTTGTCTAATAGAATATTATATCCTGTAACACAGTGTTTTTATTGGATAAATAACTTTAGTCCACATACTTAATGATTTAACTTGCACAACGGACAGTATTTTCATGCAAAGTTTCTTTTCTCCATTTCAGAAACTCGAAGCAGAGTTTCCTCTCTGCGGGCAGCTTCACTTCCAGTCATCCTCCTCATCCCCCTCTTCCTAACTACATGACTTGTCCGTCCTCGACGTTGACCTGTCTCCCGTGGTACACAGTGCAATCTGTGCTCAGACAATGAACGATTCCAAGCAATCTAAGCTACAGCAAACTATAGCAAACGACGCGTGTTAGCATGTGGTTGTGTTCCTGTGAAATTTAAGCGAGAACCTTCTCCAGAGCAGGGCCACGTTGGCTCAGGGACTGACACACTGAATCATGGTGCTGCGTTTCCTGCTTTTCGTCTCATCTGTTGTGCTGGTAATAAAGCAGAAAATGACCTGCTCGGCCAGGACTTGTCAAGAGTGACACCGCTGGCTTTGCCAGAAAAACAATGTGTCTGAACTTGCATGAACAAAGTTTTCACTTTTTCAATCTTGGTTTTTCATTTAATGTTGCTTTTTTTCTGCTTTTTTTTATACAGCTATGGTGTTGCATTTACTGTTTTCTAAAAAACCTGTCTCCAGCTGAAAAATTGCCAAATAAACAAACTCTACTTTAGTGAGTGGCTCAGGTTGGAGGTCAATTTGTGGGGGACATTCTTCTGCCGACGTGCTGTACATGAACGGAGTCATTTTTTGATGGCCTCATTTGCATCAGAGCTAGATAATTGTGTTTGATTTTTGTATAGATTTGTAAAAATAAATAAAAAAGGTATTTTGTGGGAAATGGGGAATACTGTAGAAGAGCGAGGATGGGCTGCTGCGCCCCCTGCTGGGATTAAACTGGCTTCTGAAGCTGGACACCTTATTTTGGTTGTGTTCAGTGCTAACCAGAGATGGGACATGGTTTGTCCTCCCTGAATAGTTATTCTGTTTTTGTGTCTGTGCACACTTCATCTTTCTTCAGAACACAGTGCAGAACAGAGGGGTTTTTGGGTAAATGGAATGAATTGGCCTCACTGGAAACACTGAAGGCTGACTGGTTTATCGGCCTTCCAGATGCACAAATATAAACTCTAGCTTCTTTGTTGTTTTTTCTTAAAAGATCCATTGATCTTACTATTGATGTATTGTTAATATTCTGTAAATTCAGTTAAATTAACTGCATACTTCATACCAAGAAAAGCCAACTCCATTTTCATAGAGTTGTCAAAACGATGAATAACTTCTTCAGAATAGATGTATAGCTGTAACACTGAGGGATACAGTTGATGTAACTGTATTTTCTTTTTTTCTTTTTTTTACTATGGATGCTACAACTAAATTTCTAAAGGTGTCTTTTATTGTGTTTGATTAAAAAAAAAATTCTAAGAGACCATTTAATGGTTTGACCAATTTATCCCAAAAATTAATTAAAAAACAGTGACTTTAAAGTTCTTGTTTTTTGTGTAGTGGTTTTGTGTATATTCTTTAAGTTTACATTAAATTTATGTATTTATAATTTTACTTTTTCATCATTTATTGGTCTTGTTTAAAAATCTAAAGGCTAATTGTAAAGTTTACTGTTGTTTTAAAAACAGCACTTTTAGTTGTTAATATATATTTTTCTCAGATTATTCTGTTTTCAAAATGCTGTCAACAACTCCAATCTTTTTTTTTCATCTCCCAAAATGGACGATTAAACACAATGTTTAACATTCTCTGACTCAACTTAGTCTTGTAAAGGTGTATGGATGTAGAAGTAGGATTTGTTCTGTTTTTTTTGTGTCTTTTTTGCTTTCACACTTCAGTGAAAAATATAGCTTCTTCTGTGAAGAGCCAACTGCAATCTGAGCCTTTTTTTTTTACGTGGCAGAGCAATAAAATGAATACGATTACGTTCAAACATTTTGAGTCAGTGATTTTTATTTTTTTTTAAGCTTAAAACTATTGATTCTTTTATGTAACTCCAGGTGGCTGACAAAAGTTTCCCACGTAAACACATCTGTATTTGTGAAACACACAGTTTCAGTGTTTTACACAGCAGTGTAGAGATAAGGAGACTTCAGGGACTTAAAGTGACCTTGTGGTATAAGAGGCCGTTGTAATGTGAGTAACCTAGTGGAATATCGAGCTGGCTTTTTTATCTATGGGCCGCCAAGACCTGATAAGACTCGCATACCCAATGAACTCCTGGTATTAATAGACTCTCAAGCATCATTGCCAATACATTGACCTTAAAGTAGTTATTTTCTGTCACCACAGGGCTGAGGTTCAATACAACCCAAAAAGAGATGGAGTTTCTTTATGTTTTAAATATAGAAATGTACATCCAAATAAGCTGTAAATGCATTTCCATTTATATAGTCTGTAATGTAGAACGTCTTGTGAAGTCAGAGAGGCAATTTCCTGGATAATGGGGCTAATACTCCTATTTCATGGTTTATGATCCCTGCTGATGACATGTTTGTCACTGTTGAGGCATGTTGTTGTGAAGTGGCTTTGATTCTGACCTTCACATATAAATTTCCAAAGCCCATGTTTTCATTCTTTTTTCTATTGTGAGTGATGAAGCGAGCATGCTAAAATCGGCAGAAATGATGGATACTTTTTAGAGTGATGTGAAACGAGGGGGACTTTAAAAGCAGTAGCAATGCACGCTCTTCTGCGTGTGTTAAATCGCAGGGCTTTTTATTCCAGTAAAAACTTGCACACTTTTGAGGTTACTTATGTTGACCATTTGATATAGCTTTGGTTTAATCCTTCCCTCAAGAGAGAAAATGCTGAAAAAATCCTTTCAAATATTGCATGTCTGATATTTCTTTTTCCTTGTTTTTCTGTTGTTTGTTGATGCACCAAAGCTGGAACTGAGCTCAACACCCCCCCCCCAAAAAAAACTTCATAATTATAGACACGTTGCCATATAATGTAAATTTAGAAGATCGTGAAAATCCCCCGTCAAAGTTTCCTCTGAGGTTTTCTTGGACGGCTTGGATTATAAAACAATTCCTGCCATTGCAGTTTTTGACAACGGGTCAAACAAAAAAAAAGAATCTATACTGCATATCCATACAGTGCAGCTCCCCAGACCATACGCTGTAATTACAAAGTACAGAGAAAAGACAACATAAATCTGTTTTTGAAAGTTTGGCTTTATTTGATTACACCCTGCTTGAATAGTCAAGGCAAAATTATTGGAATTTATTCAATCTTAAAAAAAAGGAGTCATTCTCTCAAAATGAGCAAACAATCCTTTGTTTCTTTGTAAATTATCTTTACGTGCAAAACAATTCCAACCAATCCCAACATGTATTTTTCCATCGTATTTTTTTTAAGGATATTTTTTCTCTTGGTTTTAATTTTTACCAGTTGATATACTTTTCAATCAACTAAATAAATATTTGTCAAAAATATTCAAATAAATTGTGTTTTCAGATTATTCCGACATTTTCTGTGACCTTGCATTTTCAGTTATTTTACAGAAACATACCAACATATGATGTCCCATATAATATGAATCCTTACTAACCAACATTCATCCCATAGACTGCACATCTTTTTCTGTGAACCGATGTGAGAGGAAGCATCTGAATGTTTTTCTTTTTCCAAGATTCATGAAAACAAAAAGCTTGTCGATTCAAAATTCATGCTCTGTTTGTATTTATTTACAGTCAAGGCATCAATGAAAATGAGCTTACTTGCTCATGGAAAGCAAGTGGCAATACCTAAGCTTAACCCGGTCGCTTCAGGAATCCTTACCTTGGAAGTTTAAATCAGATGCATTTCTGCAAAGCTAGTATGTGGTGTGCAGAGTATCAAAACAACCTGCACCGAAGTGTTGTTTTCCAACTGTACTGAGCTCCCGCTCTCTACATAGTGCACGCATACATGTCATCATCGGTCCTCCTAAGTGTTCAGTGTTCACTAGACCCTTATAGGATATCACCAAGTGCATAAAACCATGTTCCCAGAAAGTATGTCTTAAAGTTTGATCTCAAACTTGCACTGCATTTAAAAATAGTTGCATTCATGCAAGCATCCAGGTTTTAGCTCTGTTATAACAGTTTTAAAATGTATGTTTATGTTCAAATACACCGGCTGTGTGTAGTGTTGCTGTTTTTTTGTGCGTCTGAATATATGATCAGCAGTGTAATGGTTGTCTTTCTAGCCGAATCACAAAAAATACCCAAGCCCAGTTTTCTTGATGGTTTAGCAAGAATAGATCCAGACCAGTGGGTGACACTGGGAGGAGAGAGATATGTTAATGTGCAATGCAAGTCCGGATGCTTATTTGAGTTTCGTCCTTTCTGAGACCAGGAGGAGTTCTGGCGGGGCAGGTGGATGCTGCAGGTTTGTATTTTTGGTGTTCACACAGGATCCAGAGACGTTGGTCTGGGAAGCCGGAATGAGGAGAATGACGGAGAGGACACTGGAGAATGACCGGCCACAAAAGGTTAGTAACCCAATTGGCAACGTGTAGTTTGGGATTGCAGGATTTGACCGGATTACCGCAGAGTGCAGTGAGACAGTCTGGCGTCTGCTGGTACCCCTGTAGCCCCTGCAGACGGGGCAGGATGAGGGCAGACGAGCAGCGGATGCCAGAGCGGGAGCCACCAGGCTTTGAATCTTACTTCCTGGAAACCTACCAAAACCCCCACCTAAAACTCAGAAAACCAAAAACACACCACAGCCAAGCATGATGGAGACAACCAGTGCCTTAATATCAGTCCATCAAACCAAGTTTCTCTCTTTTTAAACTCCAGTTGAAGCATCTGCAGACTGCTACTCTGTTGTGATAAGTCTTTTTACCACCATGTCAAAAGGAACATTTGAGCTCCCACACATGGTTAGAAGCTGCTGAGAGTCTTGTCTCGCCCCTTGTGCACGTACACTGGGACAAGTACAGTGGTCTTATTAATGTTTCCAATTTAAACCGCATGTTTGGCTGCATGTATGTGACCACACGGACTGATAAGGAGACATAGAGGTGTCGTTTTGAAAAACCTCTTCTCTGTACATTGTAATTCATCTTCCTAAGAAAAGTGATGCGAGACGTACTGTGTTGCTGTGTCAGGATGATGATCTTATTTTAATGGGGTTATCAGAGTGCACCACTTTAGAAATACCAGCACTTCAGCAAGATGTGGTCAGAAACATAATGCATGGGTATTGCCGGTTAGGGATTTCCAGAGTGACAAATCTTAAACTCCACTGATGTTTCTGGCCCATCAGCCTGTGGAACCCTTCAGCTGTTATTTCTGTTTAGGTATGCCAGCTTCAAGAACTGAATCACAATCTGCAATCTTTGTGGTCTGCGTCTTCCAGCATGAAGTGTTCTGCTAGCATGAGAGAACAGAGGTTCCATGAAGAGGAAAAAGGCTTTGCCTATGGGGCGTGAGTGCATCCATACAATGTTGGATTATTATCTCCTTGCATTTCTTCTTTTTTCTATATGCTTTTCTTCTGCAATCTCGGTTATTGTACCACAAAAGAGCTCTCAATAAAATCAAGTTCAGGATTACGTTCAAGCCCAATCAGAAAAAACGGTACTCGACATCTCTTGCAAATATTGCGTATACTTTTTCCACTTCTTTATCAGATACAGTATATATTTTTCAGAGTGAATATTTGATCCTCCATGCAGTGGAGAGTAAAAGGTTTTGAGATGCTAAATCTGTCTAGTGGGATATAACAAGAGGACGCTTGACTTAGATTTTTTCTTTTTAATAAATTTGACTTAAGATATCTTCCTTTTTAATCCTGGTAGGCTTCACTCGTTTTTCCCAGAGACTCATTTAGAAGCATTTTCAGTGGCCCTTGGAGCTGATCAGTGGTTACTCCACACCTTATTTTTGTCACATTCAATAAAAGGCTAAACGTTGTGTATCCTAATAGGCGACTTTCTTGGTTTTCCTTAATTAAAGAAACACTTACGGCAAACACATAAAAATAGCAGTACGTTAATGCTCCTCTGTTTAAAAACAAGGGGAATAACTGTAATTGTGCAACATACACACATGACATGCTCCTCTTTCGTACCCCCCCCCCCCTGCTGTGACAGTGCAGAGCCTTTAGTGGTACACAGACCTATTAGGCCTGATCAGCTTAATTGGATGCAACAGTGAAGATGCTGAATACATTTCTGCAGTTGGGAAAGAAAGTTGGAGAAGGTCACATTTTTTTAGTTGTTCTTTTCCTGTAAACGTGTTTAGTTTTGTTTATTTGTCCCTGAGGAAAATTCATGTAATTCGTTGCCGGGCCTCCTGTAATCAATTTCCTACATTTGAACAAATCTACTATGATCGTTGTGGCAGATCAAGTTATGTAAGCCAAGTCTAAACTTTAAACAAATTAAAAATGCACCAAAATCCGTAAAGGTTTGAGCGTTCACATTTTGAAATGTTGTTAGACATTAGTTAAGGCAGAACTGCGATGGTAAAGGAAAAGAAAAAGATCTGGAAAATGTATAATTTAAAAAAAAAAGCATTAATCTACAGGACAGGAAGCAATACCTCTCACTTTACCTGCCAAAAAAGATTTGGCTCACACAAGTGAAGTGAGGCACCAGCGTGCAGCATCAATGTACAAATAGGAAAGTTAAAGCTCTTAGAAGCTCTTGCAAACCTGGAGGCAGATTGTATGGATGCTGTGCAGGATGGTCTCAAAACTGGGATTGAAACTGAAAAGATGACTGAGTAAAAAGCTTTAGACATATAAATAGATAGGACTATCAGCTGGCAGCAAAAGTATTGCTGTGCTATGACTGTAAACGTGAACATAAAAGCAGCAATGCCGATTTAGACTAGATTGGTGTTTATAATATAAGTTGAAATAGTTTTTATAGGATCATCACTGTTTCCTGTATGATTCGATGCACAAAAAAATAAAGATTTACCTGAATTAATGTCATGAAGACAGCGGTTCCATTGTTATTTGATGCTGAGGGCAAACACTTGTTGTATTTTTCTGAGATCACTGATTGAATTATTCAGAATTTCCAGTTATGACAACAAGCCACATTGGAAGCGTACGATTCAAAGGCGGTTTAATCAGGACATAAATGAATGAAGCTTTGGAGGGATTTTATTTACTGCAACTGTTACAATAATTGTTTTATTATCTAATTTTCAGTAGCCTACCTTTGAAACAGTGACTGCATGAACAACATTCGGGGAAGAAAAACTAAAGTGTGTGTCTGCCTCTTTCCAAAACATTGCTGAAGAAACATCTGATGCTCTTGGAAACAGTCTCTCTGCATAATAGTTGCACAGCTGAGCAACACTACAAGCCAATTTTGCAATGCTAATAATTAATGTATTGAAAATATCAGTGGGTGTGTTATTAGTTGTGGGGAAGTGCACTCACTGCCTCCAAGGCTGACATTGCCCTTCTGAGTGTCTACTGGTCTCTTTCATCAGCTCTGTGAAAATGTACGAGCACTCTTCTGTGATGAATTCCTGCAGTTGCAAGATGTATGAGGATTTTCGGAGGAGCTTCGTTGCGTTGCATCTGTTTTCATTAGCCCTCTCTACATTTCAGCAGGACTGAACTGGGTGCTTTTGACTTGACCATTTTCTTAGAGTCATTCTCTGGTTAATTATAACTGCGGTTCATTTTTATTGTTGAAAAAAATTGGCCTCTTCTTCATAAAGTCAAACAGTTCAGTGAGTGCAAGCTGTCTCGATTTCACCTGAAAATGTTTCCTTTGTGTGTGTTAAACTTGACGACATACAACATGCCAACAATACAAAAGGTTGTGCAAGGTTCATTTCTGGGAACTTTGTTAGGAAGGCCAATCTTGCACAAGCCATTATTACAACACATGAGAGGCCCTGTTTTTTTCCCATTTGTTTAAAAGCTAAATTACTACAAATTATCAGTTTAGTGTGCTGTCACTTTTGCATCTTTTGCATTAATATCCTAATGATGTTCCAAGCTTTACTGTTCGAGAATACTGAAAAGGGAAAAAATACCAGAGAGCGACTAAGCTGCCAACCTGTTACTAAAAACATTTCACAATGAAAGTTATCTAAAGAGGAGCTGGGTCCTGCTGACTTTTGACACCTCTGACTGAACAAAACGCATCACTTCCAGTTACACAGATGAATGTCATTTAGGTATCAGTTGTTAAATTGGTCACAAAGCTTAAACGAATGTTTGTATGTTTAAAATCCATTTCACACAAATGAAATCCAGTACTTTATAGTGTTAAACATTTCACATCTTTCTAACACCTCACTTCATGTTTAAGTTATGGCTCCTGAGTGCAAATGAGCTCAAGCTGAGTTCAGCTGAGCAGAATTTTTTCTCATCGCTTTTCAGCATGGTGGCTGAAGCTTCACAGACCCCGGCCCTTTACATTAAAGCCAGTCCCCGGAATGAAAGCCATTTCTGGATGCATCCTGTGTCTGGATATGAGCAGGGGGTCTTGGTTCTGTGTACCGGACTGAGAGCTGTGACAAACTTGGGATTATGAGACTGGCTTTTATTTAAACACACCAAAACCAGACACAAATAAGCTAAGTCAGTCACACTTCACATCGTCGCTTGCAAAGCAGGTCCCCTCCTTATTTCCAGTCCCCCCCCTTTTTCATTTCTTTCTTTCTCACTTACTTTCATCCACTTTTAATGTGTGAAACTTTGATACCGAACATCCCATTTCCTGTGTTCTGGTCGGTTGGCTTTACATGCAGATGGGCTTGTAATTTACATAGACTCAAAGGTCTCTCTTCTCTCCTGATGCTTTCTGACAACGGAGCATCTATTCATCCTGTGTGTTAAGTATTGCTCCTGAGACATCGCCTGAATTGCTGTCTCATGGTGCTTCAAGTCTAGTTTTACACTGCAGGAACTGCTGAAGAATTGGATTAAGAACACATTCCTTCAGAGAAAAGCTTCACAGTCAGTAGCATCTGATGGAGAGTTCACTCCTGTATCAAAGATTGACACAAGTTTTTGCACAAAGTCACACCGAGTCCAATTTTAAGTCATGCTGAGTCCATATCACGGAAATTTTTCTTCTGTGGATCCTCTTATAAGGCAATGCCACCTGGGAGAGATGGAGAGAAACTGGATTTGTGTTGGGAGTGCAGCAGGAGCAGCTTCTTATCCTCATATCACCTTTAGCGGCTGTTCTAACCACACTTCCACCAACTGACCTCAAGTCTGTCTTTGGAGAACCAATTAAGTTCAAATATGTGCAAAGCGAGAAAAAAAAAACGTATTTTAAACTTGTTCCACTTTCTTTCAGATGACACAAAAGTTGTTTGATGAAAAGTGTTGAGAATGTTTTAATTGCAGTTTTGCATATGTCACCAGACACCAGGTTTTAAGCAGAATAATGAGAAATACTAAAACAAGGCATTTCTACATTTGTTAGAGGTCAACAACATAAGGAAAAATAAAATAGATAAAGAGTCCTAAACACATTTAGACTTTTCGCAGTAAATACTTCTCACTATATAACCCCAATCTGAGTTCAAGGTCAAAATCAAAACACTTTGAAATTACAATTAATGACTGAAAAAAACTGGGTAGAAATACACTAAAAAAGGCACAGATGAAGATGTCATGGGTACGTGAGAAGATGCAATGTTATATGAAACAGGATGAAGATTATGCTAAGCAGAAACAAACTTTAGAAATGTCTCATACTTATATCTATACATTTAACATCCTTTATTATTTGACTGACCTGTAATTACAAGAGTGAACATCAATGTTAAATATGTTGCAGCTTTTATATTCAAAGCCTCACCATTGTCTCTCTTATGTGCAGTTCTAGTGTCACCTCAGTGGTTTGTAATTAAAGGTTTGGACTTTCTCAAGGAGTCAAGACTTTTACTGTAAGGTAAGGTTGGGAAAACAGTGTTTTTCTGTTCCAGTGGTTGATTTTCCAGATTAAACCGTAGCATCCTCTTGTGTATAGACTCCAAGTAATTTTCTTTTTCTGAACAATGAATTCAGTGCTTCCTGAAAACTCTTTTGAATAATTCAAACAAATGTCTGCTGTTTCCTGCGTTATTGATTTGACCAAAATGCATTATGCTGCTTCTTGATTAATTACCCAGGACAAAGCATTTCAACATAAGTTGCATCCAGTCCGTACACACAGCCGGCTGTCATTATCGGTCTACTTTAAGTTCTGTACATGTTCATTAGACTTGTTTGTTGGCCTGAATTGATCATTTGCTCTGAGAGGAATTTTGATTTCACCAATTAGGGGGAATGTGTGAAGACCGGATCTACTAGCGATGAAAAGGAAATTTAAATGAACAGTGTGGACATACATAGATATCAAGCTCCAAAAAAGTCAATGAAATGTTCCCACTGACACAGCTCACACAGTATTTTTTAGCATTTGACAGCTTTGATTTGTCATGGAACAGTTGTGGTGATTATACCTGCGCTGGTATTTATGGAATCTCATAAAAAAAAAAACAAGAGGCAAACTCTATGTTTTTACTATTGTGGGGAAGAAAACGTTTTCAATGGAGTTCTTTGTATAAATACTTAAATTGCAAAGTGGCGTTAAGAGCTTTGAATTTAAGACTGCAATTTAGAGGGATGTGGTCAGAAAAACAACTGAAATGTAATGAATTCAGCATCTGGAGGACTAAGTAACTCGTCATGATCATATGTATGTGAGATTTAGACTCTGCATCTCAACAACAACGTGCAGTTTGCCCATAGTTGAAGCTGTAGATCACAAGTAACAGAAACTCCCATTTTCAGCTATCTCCCAGAACCATCTGGAAATCTCTGGATGCCTTCTGAGTTTGCACTGGAACACATTTTCATGGAAATGTTCCATGTGATGACCAGCTCCATAACAACAACAAGCTAATGACGTTGACAATAAATAATAATAAACCATGAGAACAGAGGCAGTTGTGCTTTTCAGAACACCTGTGATAAGACATTTAAAAGGAAGCTGAAGTTTGCTGGCATTCAGCTCGCTTGGAGTTACATTATGTACTGATATAATTTTGCTGTCATATCAGAACAACCTAAAGTGAGCAAAGGGTATGAATGAGAAGCTAATTTGCGTGTTTACTCTCTTATTAAATCAAGGACCAAGCACTACCTCAGCCTTTGATTTGTACCTTATAATAAACACAGACGAGGCCCGGTACATAACTCACATATAATTTGCAAGGCCGATCAAAGTTGAGTTATGAGCTGCAAATACTCTGCAAGTCCATAACATAATTTTCTTCCACACCAATACCATTCCAGACGGCGTGTTTGTCGCACCACGAAAACACACACCATTACATTTGTGCTGTGATGATGAAGCCCCTGTTCATTGCCTCTTTTATTACTGTTATTATTAATGAATCAAGCAAGGCGTGAAGCCAGGACAGATAAGTTAGGGGGTATGTGGGGCAGCCTAGAAGTGGTAATTGCTGGTGTAACAGTGTGTGCAGCCCCGCGGTGGCCTCGTAAGCGACCCGCTTTATTAGATCGGCCGGTATCGATCCGCGCCGCGGTGACTAATCTCCAGGCGGGGAGAGAGAGAGCGCCGATCGATGGGCCTGGATCCAATCATGTCTGGAAACAGAGAAGGTAATTTATTGTAATCATCCGTGCTAAATGGAAAACGTGAGAAGAACGCGCCCGTGAGGTCCACAAGGAGAACTACAACAGAGATGGCGTGTTGCACAGGCACCGCGGACTCACACCAGCCTGCTGGGTGACCTTCAACACCGCCTCCCTGCTGTTCCCTGTCTCCAAAACCCCAGTTTCTCACTTTGACTAAACCCTTACGAATACATTTCCATGACAGCTGTCTCCCTTAGTGGATTATCTCATTTAAAACAAATGGAGCCAAATGTGAAACAAGATAAATAGCTGCAGTCAAAACTGGATGTGAGAGCCCTCCTAAAGTGACAAGACAATTGTGAAAGCATATGCAGACTGATGTTTTATTCAACTGGACAGCCAATACACAAGAAAAGTCACACTTTGTGTGCAGCCTCATCCCTGTCACACATGGAGAGTCAGTCTTTAGTGAAACAAAATGCCTTCGCTTTGAGAGAAACGCGGCTGATAACCAGACGCTCGATAAAACAAAGAGGTCGTGTGGGAAGAACGGGGACGACGTCAGGCACGAGAGTTCCGCTCCTCTTCTTCATTCTCCAGGAGGTAGGCTGGTTTGTAGCGCGTCACGCCTCTCTCATCCACCATCTGGAGGGCGCTGTTCCGGCAGGTGTTGTCCATGCTGCCCAGTGAGGTGTACCTGCAGGAGGACAGCCATGTGACACCCGGAGGGGTTCCGGCCATGTGGCCCACGCCGCGCACAGAAAGACGGGCCGGGGGGGGCTCTTACCCTTTATCGTACAGGACACAGTAGGGCACGTATAACGTCCTCAGGAACGACCAGATGTCGTGATATGTCCAGTCCTGTGGAGAGGACGCATGTTTCAAGCACAAGTCACTCTCATGATGAAGAGTTACATGAATGAACCTGGATGAGGTTGACAGCAAACAAAGCCGACGACACTGTCTTTCATCTGCACTTCTATCCGTCAACTTGACTTAACACATCAAAGAGCGCCAATGTATGAGATTATCTACAAAGCAATCCCGGAATGGAAATCTCATAGAAATGAATACATTTCAGTACAATGGTAATACACTGACCTTTGTTCTAAGATATTGGCTGCTACTTGAATTTTGTCTGGGCGCCGCACTAGAACAGCAATATTAATCCTGTGGGAGGGGGGAACTCAGAACCTTAAAAACGAAGTGCTGCTGCAGGGCCGACCCCCCCTCCCCTTTTAAGTTTTATGTGAGAAATGCTCCTCAGCATTACATATGCATTAATTTCTGCTGTGTGAGTCTTACCAGCAGTGGGTTGACTCTCATGTAGTCTGGCCAGCCAGGGTCAGTGGGACACATGGGTGTCAGTATGAGGGAATAAGGGTCACTCCTCCGGGTCCCCATCAGGACAGCTTTCAGCTCCGGCCGTCTGTCCTGCACCTCGATCAGTGCCTGCCGAATACTGCCCTCCACAGATATCAGCTCCAGGTCATATCTTTGGGGGACAGGTCATGCAATTATGAGGAGAGGATGTGAGAACCCAGATACCACTAGAGCTGGTAACTAAAGAGTAAGCTACGATTGCAAAAAAAAAAAAAAACGGAAATGAACAGATATCAAATCGATTTATACATATATATATATATATGTTTTTTTAATAAACAATAATTTCCTGAAACATGTTCAAATAAAGTTTTTACCTGGTTTTTGTGTCTTGGAGGAACCGCTCCATTTCTGGGAATGGTGAGACAATACGGATATACAGAGCTTTGACCTTGTCTTTTCCATCTGGATACCGCCTGAGAGATGCAGAGAAAATGGACATATAGGGTAAATTACAGTAGCAGTAACAGTAGAATCAGTATGTGCAGGGCCCCTGTCTAAGATTTCCTGTCTTTAGATCTGTTTTTCTCCAGTTTTATCAGGGTTAGATGTTCGAAAACCCCACAGTGCTGAAATGGTCCCACTATTAGGCTGATTTCCATTTTTCATCTCTCAGGTAATTTCTACTGTCTCCATTAAAACTATTCCTCCTCCTGTTACCGTCTCAGTGCAGCGTAGTAGAGATGAAGAAGAGCTGTGCAGTCTTTGCCTCCATTGAAGCCAACGCAGATCTGCTCCGTTGAATACTGATCCAGTGCAGCTTCTATTGTTTCCAGCGCAGACTTGACTTTGTTTCCCAGCTCTGTGCCTGTGGGCAGAAATCCACAGTGAGAGGGTGTTTTACACCGGATATCAAATCATTCGTAGCCGCATTTTCAGTCATGCCTCGTTTTGGGTAAAATTAACTGCTGGTAGCTTATCATATCTAAGGTACTGAGTCATAATTGTCTCTTCTTCAGACTTACAGTGTTTCTTTTTTTGTTCGCTATAATTCTATGACTAAAATGATGGTTATTAACAGTATATTCTCACCACTGTTGGATAGTTTGTACACCTCTGGAGTGGCGATGGACACAGAGTCTTTGACTAAAGACACCACGCTGCCCTTGGGCAGCTCATCTATTAGCTGGGTCCGCGCTTTGTCCACTTCCTCCTGGCTATCTGAGTCCAAGACGAGTCTGACTTTGCTATAGTTGCTCAACCAGTCAGGGTAGGAGCCAAGGGACACCCTTTTTCCCCAGCTGGCCTGTAGTTTGGTCAGCACAGGAGCAATCTCGGTTTCATCTGCATTGACAAACACCTGAGGAAATACATGCGAGCTTAGCGAAGAATACAGATTTCGGAAGTGGAAATGACTCGAGTGGGAGCTGTGTTACCTCACGAGAGTGAAATCTGGTTCCTGACGCTGAAAAGAGGTGCTCCAGTCCAGTGAAAGACCTCTCCATCAGAGCTGGGATTCCAGGAAACACGTACACATTGCGCACACTGACCTGTGACAGGGTACACGAGCCATAATGTGAGTGGAGGAATGGAGTAAAATATCCATACAAGTGAAAAAAAAAGCACTAGGTGAATTTTGAAAAGCGTGGGCTGACTTACCACCGGGTACCGTTGTGGTTGCCCTGTCTGGGGGTCAGTTCCATAGTTGAGTTTGGTCGAGCGCGGCACCATGGCCATCTTCATAGCCGGACTGTTTTTGTCCGTCACCCCGAAAAACTCTTCGACGAGCTGTTGGAGCTCAGGATGGAGATGCAACTCCTCCTGGAAGGCCAGGGCAATGCTCTCCATGGTGACATCATCGTGAGTCGGGCCAACGCCCCCTGATGTGAAGAGGTGCGTATACTTGGAGGAGAGGAGGACCACCTCCTTGGCTATGACCTCTTGTATGTCTGGTATGACTGTGATACGCTGCACAGACACGCCCAGCCTCCTCAGTGCTCGTGTCAGGAAGGTGCTGTTGGTGTCCACTGTGTAACCCTGAGAGAAAAGCACAGAGAATAGCACAGTTAGTTTCCAGGCCTTCCAACCTCCCTCCCCCAGCTCAGGCATCACATCCGAGGACATACAAAAACTTTAAGCTCTTGTTTGATGAAACTGGAGGACTAACAGTGGGCACATTTTGAGGTTAAAGCATGACACTGAACAGGACTAGAATACCTCATGTTCAAATCATGATCACGTCAAGTCAAGAAATAATGCTGAAGCTGTCATTCTTAAAGGGGGAAAAAGCATCACTGCCACATCAAACAGCCACCACAAGGTTTTCCAGAGTCGAGAGTCGGCGCATGCTGATGAGGGGGAGTATGTTCAAAATATCAAACAGCTCGAACCCCATGAAGTAACGGTGGGGGAGGGTTCCACATCATTTCAAAGGGCAGGGGGGTACTGTCACAGAAACATCTACGAACATGAAATCACCTTCAGTATCTCATCTCCGATGATGAGAATGGCTGCAGTGGGAGCATCACCGCTGCTTTTAGAGGAGGAGTCGGAGCCCGGGTTATTAGTGGTCATGGTGGCTTTGCTCAGCTGTGCTGCCAGTCTCCTCACACGCACCACTGCTCTGTTCAGGTTGGGTAAGGCGAAGCTGAGAAACAGCAAAATTTAATCAGATATGAATATACTCTAAAGTCAAGGAAGACTCTTTAATTTAGCGTACAGGAAGAAAATCCCACAGGTCATGGTAATCCAAGGAGCTCCAGCTGGAGGAAAATTGACTTTTTTCCCTCTCTAATAGAAATCAAGAATTTAGGAAACATTTTGGGTTATCTAAAAAGCCAATACAGGAGGTCCAGTTGATTTCCATTAAAGTTATAGTAATAACACTCGGCTATGTTACCCGCACAACCGGACTGACTGACCCAACCAGCGTCGAGGCGTTCTGCTGCTTCTGCACAGGCAAAATGCACCACGCAGATGTCTGTTTAAGTTGCCTTTAATAGGCTGACAACGCTGTAGTTACAGAGTTAGGATTTAATTAGAGTAAAGCCACATCCTGGAAACGCTTAAAGGGTCTTAAAAGGGTCACATTCAGTCCCCTTTTCAAAGGCATTTCGCCATCCGACCAAGAAATAGGAAAAATATGAGAATGAGAGAAACTTTATTGAATGTTTGGTTGTACCAATAAACAATGACTTTACCGTTTTTACAATGCAGAGCCATGAATGAACTTTGGAGTGTGTGCAGAGAATCGATGACCGCTTTGATCGAGGTGAAAATGTATGCTGCATACCGGAAAGATTTAAACCCAAACCATATCATCTGGGTGTATTAGTTCAGTTTAGAGAATCTTGATTTTGTATAATTTCTGTCAAATTTATGTGTTTGTGCATTTGATGATGCTTACATCAACATGAATCCACATGGACCATCCAAAAATAGTTTCAATGAAGCTCAGGCCCTCCTCTGCTTCATAATTCGCATCCTATCTGGGAGTGTCTAGAAAGAGGCACATAAAAGAACACAGCACAGACAGAGAAAGGAGGGGGCCAAGAGGTGGAGAAACTTTCAATACTTTCTCATCACAAATCTATTTTCAGGGTGCAGAGTTGGATATTTAAACCATTGCCTTTGGAATAAAGTTAGTTTTTCTAGTTGAAATACATAACTCGTTTTAATTGTAGTGTTTGTTAGTCTTTTTAGGCAGATATTGCTTATGTGACAGATAACCGGAAGAAAACGCCACAAAACCACTTAAATCCAGAGAAAATGACTGAAGCCGACGGACAGCTAAATAATGTGCAGCAGTAAAGGCAAATAATGCTAAAGCCTGATGAAATTGATAACAAAGTGGCTGGGACGGAAGGTTTTAGAGTGGTAGAAATTATCTATGTATTGTGCTGTGTGCAAATTTAGAGGACATGTATAGTTTTCAAATAACACTGACTAGTGCTTTGCTGTGGACTCACTTAAGACTTTGGAATAAATTTTTTTAATATTTCCTTTTATGAAATATATATATATATATATCTACATATACGATTATCAAAATTGCAGTGCTTTAAGTCTACATTTTTTTATGAAGTTGTATAGTTTGATGTTGATATTTATATATGGATACTGAAAGTGTAGAGATTTATGATTCAGAAGGGCTTTCTCCCTCCAGATAACACCTTTGTTACATGGATTTCCCAAAACACACTTGCATCGTTTTCAGAAAGGAGACTTTAGCCTCTGCAGGCAACATGAAAGTCAGAGTGAAACAGCAAAGTTTTATTGAAAAAGCGCCAGTCGATACATGCTGGACTTTAAAGCCTGAGCCCAAGACCACACTCTTAGCTATCACGTAATAAACTGGCCCTTCAGTCACGTGTGACAACACAGTCTAATTTGCAGCACATGCAAGTTAATGAGAAGCGAAACAGTTCGGTTTAACTAATATAACTATATTTACCTTCGTAAGACAAACTCTTACACAGTTAGAATGTCAATCGCAGCGTTCAGTAGTTCTAGGACAAATCTGAGCTGTGCTGAGTCTCCTTGCTAGTTTACTTCACCCTATCCGAGGGACGTTGACAGCTCCCTAAAGGTCTGCCAAAATTCGACTGGACTTCCGTTCTCCATAACATGTTGTCTATGTTGTTACCTGTGTACACTGCACTGTCTCTATTAGGTAAACTGTTTTATGATTAAAACCGGGGTAACTTACTACAGAGAAGCATGTCCTCGTTACGTATCCTTACAGATGTGACAACTGACTCAACTGTCAATATCCAATCACAAAGGAGAAACTATTGGAGAACATGCCTGAGAGCCAATCATAAATAAGTAGGTGGGCTTTAGTAGTAAGCAGGTACGTAATAGCGGAATTCTGTTCTCTACTCCGAGTAGCACAATGTCTAATAATGTGTTATTAAGGCACAGTAAGTTAATAGTTTATTAGCTGACTTCCTTCTGACAACATTTTGTCAATTCGCAGGTCTACATTTGAAATTTCCGACACCCGGAGCTACAGCTAACAGGAGCCATAGAGAAACTAGGAAGCAACTTTTTCTACTGGACAATAAACCGATAACTGCAAGTGGCGCGCCCCTGCTGGCTGGAGGAGTAAAACTATTCTGGTTTGAGCTATGTTGACTTTCTTTCTCGGCCTGAGGGTGGAGCATTTCGGCTTGCTAAGTGTTGCTTTCAATTGACAACGTTTAACTCTTAGTATTAGAAGAATTTCTTAACAGCGAGCTTCACAAGTTTTAATATTCACAACATTTCAGTGCTCAAACATGTCTCACATTTGAGTTTTTTGTTTTCACAACAAGCAAATTCGTTATTATCGGCTGTGACATGATGGGGTTAAGTGGTGTGCTTAGTTGGGTGTTTGGTGTCATTACTAAGGGATAAAAGTTTATTTACAACTGAACAGTGTCAACTCTGTTAAAGACATATATGGGGCTTGGTTAAAAAAACATTATTATCAAATGATGTATATCCAATTATATCTTAAATAAGTTGGAAAGTACATCATAGGTCATGGTTAAAACCAGCAAGATGTTAGTTGAAACAAATATGTAAAATACATTTGATGTACGCTGATAGGTGCATTTTGAACCACAACAATAATAATTAAGAGTCTTCACTAGAGGGGATTTGATAAATACGTAAAGTTTGGACAACAGTGCTCTTAACGGATAGAAGTAAACAAAGAGACGAAAGAAAGCTGATCCTTCGTTGTGTACAGTATCTTTGTTTTAAATTACACATTAACTCAGTTTTTGGCTCGCAATCTGGGATTTCCGTTTATGCGCAATCTGCAATGACTAGACCAGGTGAAAAACACCCCCCTCCCCCTAAAAAGAAAAAAAAATCTATATACGCACACACAGACACGCACCGACCCGCGTGCGTACACAGGATCCGCGACCAGATGACGTTGCCACTTATTCGCGGAAGTGGCCTCTGTCGTGACCGTGGAGGGGGGAGGCAGGAGGGGAGGAGGAAGGGAAGGCAGAGGAAAGAAGAAGTTAAGACTCATCTTTTATGAAGTTAGTTCAAACTGCGAAGAGTCTGATAAGCGAAGCTGTCGACGTCTCGGCCGGTTTACATGACACCGAGCTGAAACTCAGCAGGAGGGGGCAGGAGGGGAAGTCACTGGAAAGGGAGGAAGAGAGCTGGTAAGTTGCTCGTTAAAGTTGGCTTACCGCACTTTTTTTGCGGGAGGGGGGGTGGTGGTGGTGGAAGGAAGGCATGGTGTTCAGGGTGCGTGCTGGGCACCAGACGCCCGACTTATTGTCCTCCTAGAAAGTTTGGGCAGACTTTCTGTGCTTGCGGCGTGCGAGTTCCTGTCGGTGTTTCTCATTGAGGCCGCTAATGGCCGGTTTGTTAACACGTCCCTCATTAGCCCGTCCCCACGCGCACGCTGGGTGCTTGTTGGACTCGTGCGTGTCTCATTGTTGTCAGACTACATTTTTTAAACCTCGCAATGAGTCCAAAGTCACGGCGGCTTTGAGTGGAGCAGCCTGGCTGTGGTATCTGTGAAAGTGTTTGGAGAAGAGGTTACGACAGATGTCTTTACCTTAAGCTGAGAAAACAAACATTAAAGAGGGCATCAGTCCAATGTCGATTTTTTTATTGAACAAATCAGTATCGTAATATGGAGTTAACAATGAGAAATAACCGTCGTTTATTGTGTAAAAGTTACAGGTTTTGTAAAGTTCTTCTTCATCCACTTCATATTGAATTTTGGATTGAGGTTCATATAAAGACGGACTAGATCTTACTGTTATAACACCTTTATAGTGTGGGTGTGGGTTTTTCTGTAGAAGTGTAATAAAAAAATGTGTGGTTTTGTTCATTTCAAATTAGGAGCAATGTTTTTTTGGTGGCTTATTTCCTGACAAGCCAGCAAAACAAAGCCCCAAATGTTGCAACACTCTCAACAGTTGGATGTCTGACATGATCTGGCTATTCAAGCTGTGCTCACTTTTATTGAGTAACCTTTTGGACCTGATTGGCTTTACTTTTCTTTTCTAACTCAGTTACAGACCAATTGGTCGTCAGATGCCATGGCATTATTTTTGCTTGCTTCTTGCAAAAACGGAGAATATAGAAAGATCCGCTGCATTGAAGAAACATCTCCATTCTGCTGAAGACTCTCCAACTTTATTTCCAAATTCAAAAGCTTTAGTTACGCGCAGCAAAATAGATTATTTTAAAGAATATAGTATTTTATGTTACATAATCCACAACCCTCCATATGCCATAAATAACCTTCTCAACCGTGGTTTTGGCCTCTTTAAAGGGCTGGCAGTGTCAGAACCAATCTATATTGCGTCAGGCTGCATTAAGTTCTCACTCAGATAAGCTGTAGAGTCTATCAGTGCACGCACACCCATAAATCTGTCCACAATCTGAAGAAAAAAGCTTATCTATGTTCTACTATTTCTTCTTTGTCAAGTGTGTCCTAGGAGACCAGCCCCCAAAAACACTCCTCAGATGTGTTGAAACGGGCTCTCTGTGATGGAGTTAAAGTTCAGGACAGACGCGCTATGGTGGAAAGGCAGTGAGGTGTGTGTGGGATGATTGAGGCGGCTGAAAGCAGAGGGCCCGGCGCTCTTATCAGGGTCAGCCACACCGCTCACACCAGCAGCCTCTGACACCAAATGAAATGGTGGAAGTTTATCGACGCTGATGAAATGCAGGAGAGGAGAGGGGCCAATCGACAACAGATCCCGACAGATCGCACACATGACAGCAACCCCACAAATAAGACCCGCAGATCCATGTACACACACACACATGCGAGGGGGCGAACACGAGGCCGAGGAGGACACTCCTGGACCAGATCCGTCAGTCAAAACTGAGCGTCTCGGCCTAGCTGTCACATCACCTGGCACGGGGCTAAAATGGACTTGATTAAAGTGGGGTCTGTCCAAGTCTGCTCGAACCCTATCAGTCACAGGATGAAGAAAAAAAAACCCAAGTCCTGACTGACGGGCCAAAGTGACGTTTGACTGTTGTGATTTGACGTGCAACTGGTCCACAAGTAATCTTTGTCTTTCCGGCGTGGACCTTGTAATGTTTGAAATTTTGCTATTGACACAACACTGTGGCGGGATGAGGAGGGGTTGTAAACAGGCAGAGTGTTGACAGGATGTACAGTTTACTGTGGGCTTTACTGGCTATTGGTTGTAGGGTGCACGTATTTGCTTTTCTGCTCGCGCCTGGGTTTGCGAGTTTGTTCTGAAAACAACCTGTAGGAGTTTGCTTTTGAGGTCTTTGCATGTGGTCGTCCATCTCTACCCTTCAGACAATAGGACCGGGTTTCAGCTGCGTTTCCTGCATGCTCAGCGCACCCAGTCTGCAGCACAGGCTCTTACAGAATCTTACCGAGCGTGGGAATTAAAGGTTGGTTAAACAAAGACCCCATCAGAGGGGCTGCTCAATTTCCATCCTTACTTGTAAACATTGTTTGCTTTAATAGAGGCCCACACTAACTCTGACACGCAGCATTTGAAGCAGATAAGCGTCTGGGATCTTATCAGTGATTCGTCATCCAGAATGTCGAGCTTGTAAGCTGAGTTAAAACACAGTGATCTGATAAATGCTCCTAAATCAGACTTTTTTTTTTATGCTAAAGCTAAATACTTTGATTTTACAATCTGATATGATATGATTGTACAACAGTATATATACTAAAATTGAATATAGTTTGGCGAATAAACACCTTTTTTCCCCAAAATTAAAGTACTTTGTGGTTGAATACATTGTTTAAATAATGGGTTCTTCAACTGGGTGTAAAAAGTGAAGCAAACTTCAAACTGCAGAAGCCTGTAAAAAGTGTCAGTTTCTCCTATAAAGTACCAAATTAGCCGACTCTTTCCACAAGTTGTTGTGGTGCTGCTTTGATGAACTCCTTATTGGTAGTCAGCGTCTTTGTGGTTCCTTTCCAGCATCTTAATTTTGAACGTGCGAAGCCTCGGACAGAGGGAAAGTTAGGGTAAGGCCCTTTAGATTTCCAGTCATGGTAGTCGGGCTCTGGCCTGCAGCTTCTGCCCGTCAAAGCAGGAGCTGCAAAATGATTAAATATCGTCAATGGCAAACCGTTACGGCAAGGGGGAAGTTGTAAGTGGAAGTTGTACAGTAAGAGGAGCCCGGCGGAGGGTAGCAGGAAGGGAATGATGGAAGGAGATAGAGGAGGGAGTGTGGTTGGGGGGGGGGGTCGACACAACCTAAAATAGCCCGCTCACATGTTTTCTGTGTGCGTGCTGAGCCACGAATCCAAGAGGAAAGACGTCCTGCCGAATGCCTGGCTAATCTAATGTTCACCCTCGGCTTTATTTTTGAGTGCCCTTTTTTATTCTATTTGGTTCGGGTGTTTACATCGCAAAGCGGTTTCTTTTCACCGACTCCCCTCCTCCCGGTTCTTTCCGCACTCTACAAGTCATTCATCACTGTCTTTTCCATCCCGGCGGCGCGAGCAGATTTTCAACGGCGTCTCCGTACGGTCGGAAAAGGTCACTGTCTAAGCTTGTTCTGCTCATCTTTTTTTTTTTTTTGTTAGCTTAGTGTATGCACAGGGTCGAGTTAGCTGGGTCAAATCAGATTACACTCACTCATAGACACACACAGGCAGGCCCACAGTATAAGAGCAGACAGCAGATGTGGCCCTGCAGCGTGTGCATTAGATCCCGAGGCCTGCTTGTCTCTGACCATTTCATCTAATAAATCCTGACTAGATGCAGCTTTCGCAGACTTCTGAAACATTGACAGGAACAAAACGCACACTTTTCTAACTTGCGCTGGGCAAGCCGAGACAGACGCATCCTACTCATGCAGTCCTTTGAGTTAATTCTTCTCATTCCACAGCCTGTGTTTCAACGTGCACACTGGATTGCCGCCCCTCTCTTCTTATCACTGTTGCTCTGTCTGGGTCTGATTCCAGCGTTGTCTCTGTGTGCTTATGATCCTGTCCCATGATCATCGACACGGCTGATTCAGGGAGCAAAGCATGCTGGGGGGGGTTCAAGTAGCTGCAAGGGCTGCGTCAGAGCGCTCCACGATTGGCTCCTTGTGTTTGTGTACCGCGTGCTGATGTGCACTTTGGTGTTTTCTTTTAGTGTTGCAGACTCACAGCCAGCCTGTGGTGGCCGATGGAATATATGGTAAGATTCGCTCCAATGCAGCTAGTAAAAAAAAAACTAAAAAAAACACACTGTGCCGCTGTGGCAAAGGAGTTGCTTCATGTCACTCTAACATAACGGGGGTTTTCCACCTGAGCAGCACATGCGCTGATTTGCATCTGGGATCAGGTTAGATATCTGAGGCCGGGAGCAAGTTTGTGCAGAAAAAAACTCTGCCATGTTTCAGAACCTGCAGCCAGTATGGCGTTTGATCCCCTTAATTCAACAGAGAGGGATAAACTAGAAAAAGTTTAGCAAAATGTCGCTCTCGTGTTTTAGCGTTCAGTATGGGCCGTAATAGCTGTGAGCGGCGCACAATGCTCCACACAGACCAGCTCTCACAATCAGCGCTCAGATCTTCTGGCATTTAAAGGTCCTGCTGGAAACGGCCGCTATAAATCCTGTTTGTACCACTTTTCACAGCAGCTTGCAGTGAAAAGGAGACAAGCCCTCTGATCTGCTGTTGTTTTTAAGAGGAGGAACCATAATCCCTTTCTCTGCACTCTGCTGAAAATACAGGGTGAAAAGTGCAATAAAAACCATACCAGTTCTTACTTTGAATCATCTCACTACTAGCTTTTCCAACCACCCTGAACCGGCACTGGAACTGCTTGGCCAAAAAGGGGCAAATACCAATTAACATACCTAAACTTTTCTATATAAAGCAGCAGCTATTGAAGAGACCTGAGGAGACCGTATAATAATTTAGAACTTTTGGTCCATTCTTCATCCTCAGGTGGGTAAAACTGTAGATTAGCACGTCAGTCAGCCTGTAGTCGTACACCAGCGGTCACAGGGCCCTTTGTATGTAAGTTAGTGGTTTAGCTCAGACTGTGCAGGGTATGACAGTTTCTTGGGATTACTCAGATTAAGCAAATGCAGAGCGTCTGATGAAGCCTCGTAGGCCGCAGGCTGTGATCTCGTTAGACCGCCTCACGTAAAAACAAAACAAAAACAAGTTAGAATGACATCTGTGAAGAGGTGAGAAGCAGGAGTTATCTCACAGTTCTGCCTGGTGTGCTATGACAGGGTGGACCTGTTGGGCTCTGGTGGCTCAGTGAGCCGCCCCTGGGCCACAGCGCGGCGTGTGTTTCTCTGGTTGTGGGCACGGCGCAGGCCAATGCTGGTGATCACGTCTGTGTGTGGTGATGGATGGTCTTCTGCGAGGCCGCAGGTCTCTTGATTTCTTTCTTTCTTAAAAAAAATCAAATAAATTCTTTTGTTTATTGCCTGAACACACTGCGAGCCGACGTGATGGCGGCGTAGTGTTCAGACACAGCGCTGCAGGGACTGTGTTGGGACGTCATATGGGGACTTCTTGCTGTCCACTCTGCCGGGTTCCATGGCACTGTGCGGGCGCTTTCCTGTGCTTCCTGCCACGGCCTCTTTTCATCAGATACGTTTGAATGTGGGAGCTAATCTCTGGGATCTCTGTTTTCTGCCTCTCTGCTCTTTCCTCCTGAGTGCTGTAGTCGTGTACCGTAGTCATGATTTGTTAAATGCATCCAAATGTGCTTTTTTCTGATCTTTTTTATTTATTTGGCCAGTTCCATCAAGGTTACACAAAGTGACCTCATGTTGCTGTGTAGAGGGAGGGGGTGGCTCCTCTTCGTCCCCCTCATTAACTCTTTTTCTCAGGTTACCAAACATGACTAAGGGAGGAGTCCTGAATGGAGAAACATGAAGAACCAGCCTCTTCACATGTGTGCAGCTTTGTACACACATATACACACTCTTGCCTTTCCTCCCCTCTTCCACATCCCCATCTCCCTCTGGAGTGTGTGCATTAATGTGCAGGAGTGCAGCATCTCTCTGTGCATACACATGTACACTGCTAAATTACCCTGGCTGCAGTGAGGAGACGAGGGGGAAGGGGAGGAAACAGGAAGGAGGTAGCATGGGAGAAAAGGAGGTGGGGAGGGCACATACAGCGGCACATGCTTGTGTGTGTGTGCGTGTGTGTGTGTGTGAGTTAGAGAGAGAGAGAGACGATAAGAGAGAAAATGGGAGGCAGCATCACCCACCCAGACTGAAAGGAGGGGAGGGCAGACAGCGTGCTCGTCCCTGTAACAGACAGAGGTGGAAGGAAAGTGGGCATGAGAGACAGACGTTAGGGGAGAAGTGGAGTACAATGAAGGAGTGCCATTGTCCATCCAGAGAGCACTGCCATTTCACCATCTGCTGAAAGAGACGGAGAGACACAGAGGAGGGGACAAGGAGAGGAGGCAGCCAAACGGAGGAGAGGATAGATGGAGAGAGGCTGCCGGCAGTGACTTTGTGAATTAATCGAGCGGAAGAGCGGATCAGAGGAGAAGCACGTTTTTCAGGGAGTGGACGAGGGGAAGGAGAGGACAGATGACCGGACAGTCTGTGGCTGTTTATGTGGCTCTTATGTGAACACCGAACCCAGCTTTAGATGAATAGCCATGGATTAACAACTGCATTCTTTATAAACCAAAAAAAGAAACTCCTAATGTTTTGCCATTCATAAAAAAAATAACAAATGGCAAATGTGGTAGACTTACTTCATACTGGACTGCTTTAGTTACTCTTTGTTTGTGTAGACATAGATTCCCTGTGCGACTGCTGATTCTCTATTTTTTATGAGCATAGAGAGCTGCCCTGCAGGATGTTATACAATCATCTCTGTTAGCTGCTGCACAGATTATTCAGGTTGTTTTTATGCAAGTTTTCTGATCATCGGTTGAATTTTAAACATGTGCAAGGTGTAGTTGTAGTTTATAGAGTTTGTAGACATATGTGTATTGTGGTTTGAAGTGGTGTCACTTTCACATGCCCCTTTTGAAGTCGGCGCATGCAGCCGACACAAGTTGTCAACATTGATTGGGTTTTATGGCTGGCGCTATGCTGGTCAAACTTTGATCATTTCCTGAACCGTATTGATCTTTCTAGGAGTCTGTAGTTTTTTGCTCCTGCTGTTGGATGAAAAGAAAGGAAAAAGGCTCTAATGTGCAGCCTTTGATACAGCCGCTAATTGCTTACCATGTGATTTGACTAAGCGGTTATCTCTTTGAAGATTTCTGCTGTTGTCGGGACTTCTCGGCAGATACTCTCCGCAGGCATCTCTTTTAATGTCTGTTGCCATAGCAACGGGCAGCAGCTGCAGACAGAACGAGATGTAAAGTTCTTCTTCTGTTATTTTTTTTCTTCTTTTGTTCTACAACTGGTGCTGTTCTATTAGATAATTGTACATATTTCATGGGTAAAACCCAGAGGACTAGATTAGTCCTCTGTTGTGTGTGTTTCTTTACTCTTTTTACCGTTTCAGGGTTGTTTCAGGTCACCTATTTCCCCCGCCCCAATCTGTGTGTTTGTCCACTTTGAGTCTTTTCGGACCATTTTTATCAATGGCAGCAACGATTTTCATCAGTCAAGCTGATGGCTGTTATCAGGCATGACTGATTAAATGAGATTACAGCTCTGATTTCACCTTGTATATATCAGCGGCTGCAGCTGCTGAATCACGAATCATCAGAGTAGCTGAGCTGTTTTTGAAACTCTCTGTTCCTTTTACTGTTTGCCTGTTGGTGACTCAGGATTTCTCTTCATGTAGAGGATTTTTTCCTCTTCTGTCACCTGACCTACACTGTGTTCTGTGCACTGAAACACCCCAGGGCCAAGGTTGAGTCAGCAGGCCTTTGTTTGAGAAAACCTGGAGATTTGTTTCTATTGTTACCACTTTATTAATATTATACTTGTTGCCTTTTTAAGTAGTTATCCTCCTTGGACTCGATTCCGCTTTAGGAGCATGACAGAGGTTTTCATTTATTCTGCATGTCCTTCGATTGTGCAAATACTCAGTGTCTTTTGTGACTTTTCCAGCCATATTTCTTTACAGCTTTCTGGAGATTATTTCAGCCTGTCTGGCAGTGAATGAGTCTAACTGGTTCCTTCATGGTGCTTTTTGGCCAAGACCAGATGGATGACTAGCTAGAATTGCTAGACAGTCCCTCTGTGGTGCTAGACCAGTGTAGGCGACTGATTCCTTCGCATCCAGCATCCAGCGCAAACCACAATGTTGAGTTTTTCAGGCCTATGAAAAAAATCTGCAGCTTTGCTTGGCATTATATGAAGCGCTGGTGTGAAATTTTTCAACCAAGTTGTGGAGGGGAAGGTGTGTGTTCTCCTCTGATGAGTAAAGGTCACCAGACTGTAAATATGACTAGTGCTTCGGCAGCACTAAAGTGTGGACCGGCCAGCTCGCTGCAGGACTGTTGGTGTAGCCTTGCCTCCTACTGAGGTCAAACTGTCTCTGACTGTTTCATTTGGGGGGAAATAAGTTGTGAGAGACTGTTACTGTAAACAGACTGTTTGCGTTTTTCGGTTGGACTATGCAGAGTATGAAATGTCATGTGGCATCTGTAGGGTCCATCTGAGAGCTAACTGTCTGCTTGACTTGCCCAGCCTTAGATAAGCAGGGCGGCTGTCTGGAATATAAGACTCGTGTCGTCACTTTTCTCAGGTAAATGACTGTAATTTGGGTGAGCTCTTTTGGACAGGCCTGTAATAAAGTCTCTGGATGAGAACAGTTGTGCGCAGAGATAACGGCGTAGCAACAGCGAGCAGTTTTTTAATTGAGCTGCTGGGCAAGTGGGTTCACGTTGAACACTGACAAGACTCCATTCAGGGAACCCTGGGTTGGGAGTTCGAACCCAACCTGTCAGGTCTCATAACCATCAAAACAAGCCCGCCGGTACTCGTCAACAGCCAATGACCTACATTCAACAGTGTTACATCACCGTCGTGCTACTGCTGTGTGTGTCACTGTATCAGACGCACACAGCATCTCAGACTCAACCTACTGCTATCTAATGGTGCTCCAGGAATGGTGCTCCCAACCACAGTGGCCAACCTTAGGGAACACACTTGAACAAAGGCAGGCTCTCTTATTTTAGTCATATCAGGAACTTTGGTCAGGGACGGGCTCAACTCTGCCAGCCCAGTCTTAATTAACACACTTGGTTTCTTCTTTTCTTTTGGTTTTCTCGTGGTGTCTAAAGTAACCATGTCTAGCCTCTAGCCATCTGTAATCCTTGGCTAGAGAGGCAAAAAGACACGGCTGACAGTTAATATATTAGAGTGCGCGGTCGTTAAACAGGACAGCCTGGAGAACGGGCGAGCAATCGAGGGAGGGGGAGAGGGGGAGCGAGAGATCATCTGGAAGAGGAGAGAGGAAGTGGTGGCGCGTGAGAGGGCGGAGGCGCTGGAGAGACAGAGGTTGGCAGAGTACATTGTGTGGAGGAAGAGAGAGGACTTTCAGGATAAGAAAGGAGACAGAGAGAAGGGGGGAAAGAGTAGAGAGACGGGAAAGGAGGCCTCGCCAGAAGTGATCTGGAAAAGGAGGGAAGAAGAAGAAGGAGACGCGGGGCGGGAGAGAGCGAGGGCCATTCAGAGAGGACACGAAAACATTTGGCGGAAGAGGGAGAGGGAGTAGAAAGGGGCTGGGTGACAGATTTGAAAATACGATGCACATGAATAGTAGAGTGCACTGCTGCCAAGGGGTTCGAGACTAGCCATACATCAGTAAGCCTCCTCACTGGGTAGCAGCTCCGGCCTCCATTGAGCTCTGCAGGTGCTCGCTGTGTTATCGACCAGTTGAAGTCGTGTATGATCTGTGCTCCACCGCTGCGTTAGCGTGCACAGCCCCTCTCGCAATCCCCACGTTGGCGACTAATAGGATTTTTACAAGCCCATGTCAGGCTGGATAGAGCTGCCAAGGGGAGCTACTTCACACAAGCACGCGCCAGGACACATATACGCAGATAATCAAAGAAGCATTGTGGGCAGGGAAGGTTCATAGCCCCTCACACATGGAGACACGTCATAACTAAGTGCGTGAGACACATGTGAGGGGGTGTTCAGAGACAATCACTTGTGTTGGCTTTCCATGGTTTTGGCGACAGCTGAATAACTGGCCCGCGCTCTGGGCCGATTGAACTGGGACGGGATACTCACAGATATCGTTTTACATGATGGCAGAACCCCAAGATGAACCCTCTGTGGAGAGTTAAGAACTCGTTCCCAGAGAACCTGAGAAACAGAGTGATTTCAGAAGAACTGCGGACAACATGAGCTGTGCTGGTGCACTAGAAACCTTTTTTCCTCTGTATGCTGCCATTATCTGGAACACCCCGCTTTTCCTCGGCGCCTTCGCTCATTCTGCTCTCTCTGTGGATAAAGCTGTTTTTGAAGCAGTTTGGCTGCCTGGAAATGAGTGGAGGACAGACAACCAAACAGATGGATGGAGCGCTTACTCTGAGCAAGACAGACAGATGGCTGTGTGTCCTTTAGAGAGAAACTTTGAATCGTGAGACAAAGACACTTTGATTAAATCGCTAGAGCCTTTGTGGACCTGCAACGGCAGAAAAACTTACATTGCAGATTCATTATGGAGCTTGTGCCGAAACCCAAGTACACCCACATCCGGAGCGATTCACTGAGCTCAACTGATGAAACGAACTCCAATCCATCGTCATTCCCTCCTTCCAGCCCGGCCACCCCTTTAACCCCCTCTCCTGGTTTGCCTTCTTCTCTGTCCTCCTCGTCTCTTACTCCCATCTTGCCCCCCACTTCTCCCCGTCCGGCTGAGAACAGCCCCACCACCCTCTGCTCCTTCTTCCCTCGGATGAGGTCCCTTCGTCTGGATGTGTCTGCTAATCTTCTCCCGGGGCTCAAGGCCTCGAGCAGGTCGCAGCAGGCTCAGGCGCCTGTTGAGTCCTCCGGAGATGACAGGAGCAACTCTAGCTCCTCCCCTCCTCTTCATCAACCTGTCCCCCTCCTAACTGCTCCCTCTCCCCCTCCCCGGCCTCCCCTGCAGGACATGAACCGGCTTGGAGGGGCGTCCAGGAGGGCACGGGTGGAAGGAGGGCAGCTGGGAGGAGATGAATGGACGCGCCATGGCTCCTTTGTTAACAAGCCCACCCGCGGCTGGCTGCATTCCGACAACGTGGTCAGCACCACTGGTGTTTCCTACACTGTACGGGTAAGCAACAGGCTCATTCTCACTGACCCCTGGCTCGAATGCGTCAATATGCATCTCATTATCCAGCCTGGTGTAAGTAGGGCAGCATTTCTTTCTTCCTCCATTGTGTCCCATTGGCCCAGTGGGACAGGGGAGTTGGAAATATCTGATGCTAATATGTCACCTTCTTGTTTCCTGGGCAGTACATGGGTTGCGTGGAGGTGCTACAGTCAATGCGAGCGCTGGACTTCAACACCAGAACTCAGGTCACCAGGTGAGTTGCCACACTGCTCCACCGTGCACTTCTCTCATTTTGTCACATTGCACCATAGATAAGGAAGGGGCGGCATGCTATTATTGTGGTTAGATTCAGAGAAATGTTGGGCATGTACACTCAGACTCCTCTCACCTCTCATATGTCTCTGCTTGCCTGCTCTGTGTCCTACTTCTGCTCGGTTTTCCTTTTTCCTTTTTTTTTTCTTTTTACCATTTTAGTGCCTGTTCAAAAGTGTGTATACGCACCCCTACTGTTCTCCGAGGCACTAAATTAGAATGTTCTGGAATCCTGGTGGTTTCCTTCTGGTTTCCGTAGTGATGTTTGTTTCTGTGGCAAAGACAGCACAGTTGCCAAGGACGATAAATTCTCTCACCCGCTGCCAGATCTCTTTTAATCTGTATAAACGCGAGTCCAGAAAAAAAATGTGAGGGTTAATGACATCATTGCCAAGCATGTTTGTTTTTAATGTTTCAGGGAAGCTATCTCTGTGGTGTGTGAGGCAGTACCCGGAGCCAAAGGCGCCCGCAGGAGAAAGGTACATACTACACAGCCGCTCACATAAGCACACACCCTGACAGAACATTATTTATTTATAAGGCTTAAGTGAACCACGCTGGGAGGGTTTTTAAGAATGAGAGCTAGATTTAGCTTGATTGTCCACCCTGTGGTCAGTTGTCTGCACAGTCACAAACATATGCGCAGGACTATTAAGCTATCCATTTTAAGAAATTGCATTGACTTTTAATTCATCCTGACCAAAGCCTTCTCACAAACCCAACCTGAAATCCCACTTTATTTCTAACCAGGATCCATATTCTCATTTGTGTGGATGTCTTTGTCAAAGCATTCCTCATTTGTCTATTCTAAACTTAGCCATCCCAAATACACCTAACCACTACCTCTGGGTAACTATATCCTGGCTCTAAAAACAAGCCTTGATTATTACATAAATATCCTCACCCTGAACTTTCAAAGCCAAAACTTTTTCTCACAAAGATGTTGGTGAAACTACACATCAAAATACAACCATGTGGTCTTGATTTAGGGGGATTGTACACTTTGGTGGTGAGTGGGTTACTTGCAGGTAATTACCAGTCACTCTGGCTACTCCTCTCCCTCCCTCCTGCCTCAGGGGAGACTTCTGTGGAGCCAGTGTAAGACTAAAGCAGCACTACAGATTATCATACACAGCCGCCAGTCTGCAGTTTAAAGACGGTGCTTGTCTGTTGCTCAGTATTCCAGTAAAACTAAAAACATCCACCCAAACAGTCCATAAAACAGGTGGCTAAATCCAGCTGCCTGCTGCCATAGCAGGGTTTGACCAAGGAATGTCTGGCAGTGTAATGCACCAGACAAAATACAGTTATAGAGTGGAAACCAGAATAGATTAAGCCAGTCTTGTCCCTCCGAATTTGTCAGACTGAGGTCAGTGTGAGGGTATCCTGCTCTAATGGCACTTTTCTCTCAACATTCTCTAAACACTATTGAGAAAAAACAAATGAAAGCCATAAGAAAAAAATGGGTTGGTGCAATACAGCTGACATGGTCTATGTGATGTACTTGGACAAGCCTACGTTATGTGAATTGAGCTATCTGCACCCCTTTGGTCACAGATGGCCTTGGAAACCGGATCACTTTCACAATTGCAGCTGTTCTCCCACTCCCACACACGCAGGCATTCCTCAGTGGACTATTATACTTCTGTGATATCAAAAAAGAAAAGGAAAAAAAACTCTGCTGCTTTCGGTTTGTGAGCCTTGTTTTTTATTTCAACTTATTGTTTGTATCGCTCTCCTTTGCAGCCTTCCACTCGATGTCTGACGTCCATTTTAGGGAAGAGTAACCTGCAGTTTGCCGGGATGACAATCAGCCTCACCATCTCAACCAGCAGCCTCAATCTGCTGGCGTCAGACTGCAAGCAGGTTAGAGGAGCTTAGAGGAGGCACTGCAGCTGCACTGCTCAAAAACTCTTTGTCGTTTCTGAGAGCCAGAAAGCAAAGATTCGCCTGATTTTTTAAACTCTCTGTTGCAACTAGGGGGGTGTTTGCCATCCAAAGTGTGCCAAGATTGCGTGGTTGACTGAGGCAAAGTAAACCTGGAGGTCTCAAGTCATTGGGGATTTTGTGTGGTTTTATGGAGTTTACAGCTTAGCGCTCCTTCATGCAAAATGAAAAACTCCTTCAAGCATTGTCTGAAAAATCCATTACGTTTGACAAGCAACTCCGAGTCAAAACAAACGCATACCCGGTCTGTTTTTGTGGTAGAAATAGATTACTTTTAACCCGTGTCATTATTGTTTTCTTCTATCCACTGACTTGGGATCATTTTTGACAGTGCCTTGGACAAAGATGGACCCAAAAAAAAATCCGGGTTTTGCTTTTTTGTTGAAGCATATTTAGTTATAACAGCAGATGTGTTATAGAGGACACGATCTGAAACTTTTATCTTCATAATTTCTAACATAACTGAATGTGGCTGTGATGTGGTGATGAGATCCTTCTTATAGCTTTCTGGAACATCCAAGGATGGTCAGATAAATGTGGAGATTCTTCACTTTGTTTAATTTTCTCTTGTTTCTGCACAAACTGTCTTCATTCTTGTCTTACCACAGTACAGGATGCGATGCTCCTCTCAGGCCACTTCTAATGAGTTTAATAGCCACTGAGCACTCTGTATCTTTAGGGAGATGAAACACAGTTGTGTAGTGCATTCTCATTAATACACGGCACAAATGAGCACAGTGTTCAACGTATCCCCATTCACAAGAGAAGACCACACATTACGCACATTATGTTGATGTTGTGGATCCACCATGGCTGGTTGTTGCAGACTGTTCAAATTGTGCTCCATCCCTTTTTTATCTCTCTGCTGCAGTTGACAGTGCTCAGTGGAGGAAAAAGCTTTTTCCCAGTAATGATTCCATATTTGTTACTCCATCCACACACTTTCATTTCACTTCCCACATACTCCATCTCACCCATGTGCTCTTCTTCTCTTTCTCCTTTCTCTTCCTGTTATCCCTTCTTTTTCTCCACAGATTATCGCCAATCATCACATGCAGTCCATCTCCTTCGCCTCTGGAGGAGACCCAGTGAGTCATCCAACCCCCTCTCTGTCTCCCCCTCTCTCAGCTCAAATCTCACTATGGACTTTTTCCATCTTTTCTTCAGCCTGCACGTCCTTCCTTCCTGTCTTAAGTCATTGTCTATTTCTATGAATACCACTTATATCATTGCTGCCTCTATGGCCTGCTGTCACTGATCACATTACTTCCTGTCGCCTCTTTTTCAGCTCCGTGTATGTTCCTAGCTTCTGCTGCGACTTAAAGGCTTCAGCTTTTGCTTTAACCTTTTCCTTTTCTTATTCTCAGTCTTTTAATCCAAATTCTTTACTTCAGTTTTCCCTTTCATTGTTTTTTTTTTTTCCTGCCCCCTCCTGTCCTTAACTGTCTTCCCGTGTCTTGTTCCCACAGGACACAGCAGAGTACGTAGCATATGTGGCCAAAGATCCAGTCAACCAGAGAGGTGAGCAGAATCTGCAAAATTCCATCTTTTTGGAGGTTGCATCTGCCAGTAAGAAAAAATTAGCGAAAGAAAAAATAGATTTTTGGCCATGATCCCCTAATACATGACTCATCCATTTCCTGTATTAACTCTCGTTACATGATGATGATGCAACATCTAAAATTGCATTTCCAGCTAAAACAAAAAGGCAAATAAATAGGACAAAGCGTTTTCAATGGAATTAAATTAATCTCTTTGGGCAGAAGAAAATGCTCCCTTTGTCATGATTCCTGCTTGAATTTGTAACGCCACCCACCGCCAAGACACCGCCAACCCAGAGTACACAGTAGCCCAGGAAGAAAAAGCGCATTTACAAAAAAAAAGCTCTTCCGAAATGTGTTTACTTAGATGCTAATTATGTGAGCATGTGGGTTTAACCCCCCCCCCCCCCCAAAAAAAAAAATATATATGTATGTGTATCTATATTTGGTTTAATACAGAGTTTTAACGCCTTCTCAAATAAAAAACCTTCATGTAATCCCTTAATCTGTGGAAAAACGAGAGTGGGTAAAGTGATTGACATGAACTTACTGTCCATCAAGCTTCAGCCCTCACTACATCAAAATACACCTGCCTACAGAAAATATGTTCTCTGCCTCCACTCGAATTTATTTTTCTCGCTGAGCTCTGGATTTCTTTCAAGGACATGTTGTGCAGCCTCCTCAGTTCTTTGTGCCTTCACTGTTGCAGCGTGTCATATCCTGGAGTGCTCGGAGGGTTTAGCCCAGGAAGTCATCAGCACCATCGGGCAGGCGTTTGAACTGCGCTTTAAACAGTACCTGAAGAACCCCCCCAAACTGGTCACGCCTCATGACAGGTGAATTGTTAGACGCTAAAGCAAGGGTTTGTCCTTGGATTTTTTTTTTATTCATCCTGTTTCTATTTCTGCCTACAAGTAACACCCCTGTCTCTCACAGAATGGCTCCATTTGACGGCTCTGCATGGGAGGAGGAGGATGAAGAGGCTGCTCCTCCTCCTGAGGTCCCTTATTATAATAATTTCCCTGGAAAACAGCCTCCCCCTGGTGGACTGATTGACATGAGGACCCGACCAGGAGCCACGCTGGTAAGAAAAATGCAGGAAGGAAGGACAAAGCCTGCTCGTACGCATGGTTCATTACACCCAAACACTTGCAGCTCCCTATCTGATGTGTAAAATGTTTTGAACGACTCTGTGATTTGAAACGCATGATTAATATTACTGCACCGACTATGATTGGCCATATCCCCTGTGCGGCAGTGGACTGTGTCCAACATAATGCTCAGACACTTGACTGCATAGAGCAAAAGCCTGAATAAAGCTGATACAGTTCCATCTGATGTCCTCCAGTGAGTACTTTGCTGCTCACTCAGCTCAGAAGTTCTGAGTTATCATTCAGTGCCATCCTTCTGCAGCAGATGTCATTTCTCATGAGGTGTTCACTTCCTGAATTGGGTACAACTGCTGTAACTTTCATACAAGAAGCATGCTGCACCCAAATCTCATTACCTAACAGGACCTCAGTTTGCACCTGCAATGCTGAAGAACTGGTTTGCATCTGTGTTTAGTTCTCTGTAACCCGGCTTTTTAATATGTAAAATGACAGGCCTTTGAGATAATTTTAATAGGCCACAGAGGCAGTTTATGTGAGGATGACCACATCATGCTGCGGCTCATTATTTGTTTGTATGCCTCTCTGTTTGCAGCCCTATGGACAACCAGGTCAAAATGACATTCACAAGCACCCTCTGCCTCCTCTGCCAGGTGAGCTCAGTCTGCCTGTCTTTATCTCTTTTCATACATTATGAGCTGTGAATCTCAAAGGGAAGGATGGGGGTTATTATTCAAGGACACATTGAAGAGATAAACCAAAGGTTTGTCCTTGTACTGTTTAAAAAAGAACTAGTTCTGTTTAGGTTTCCCGGCAAAAATAAAAATGTGAAAATTATAAATAAATATAAAAATGAATCTAAAAATTAAAATTATAGACTTGATGTGCTAAAGGAGTCCCTCAGTTAAAGGGACATGTTATGATAAATTACCAAAGATTCCTGATGGGTTTGTTTTGTTTTGTTTTTTAAGTTGGCGCCAAAGAAGGACCTCGAGAGCTGTTTGATGACCCATCATATGTCAACGTGGATAAACCCCGTCCTCCACTTGCTGCCAATGGAAATGCTCACAGAGATGCTTTTGACATGAGTAAGAATCCAACAATGCGCCTTGTTTGTTAACGTACTGCGTTTTAACTTGATACGCCAACATCAACTTGACATCTGTCTGCAATACAGTGGTATTGTAAATGACTTGCTTGCCTGAAACCTAAATAGGAAAGGTAATTAGTGACAGGATTTCTTGTAAATGATATGTGTGGGCTGTAATCAAAATGACAGATTCCACTGGCAATTATGATGTGCAGTTTTATGAAATGAAAATAAAAGAAGAATAATGCTCGTTGCTTTGGAGAGGAGCACTCTACGTTCCAAATGACTGATGCGAATTGAGGAGTGGATTTTTCCTCAAAGTGAAGCTGTGGAGAAAGATGAGGGAATACAGCAGCATTTGGTAAAGCATTACTGGTTGACTGCATTAGGTTTCCCCACTAAAAGGAAGTCACTTGATTCAGGCCCCACTTCAGAGATGTCACTATTTCTTGTCTTTAAAAAAACAGCAGATAAGACAAATGCTATTTTTCTTTCAGATATTCTTCAGTAGAAAAGTTCAGCATAACTAAAATGTATTAATTGTTTTTTTTCAAGAGCCATTTGATGATGCCCTGGGGGTTGCAGTGACAGCAGCACCCGCTCTGGTGCAGCAGTTGCAGAATGAAATCTGGTTCCACGGGAGTTTAAGCCGCAGGGAAGCTGAGAGGCTGCTGACCCGAGATGGAGACTTCCTGGTGCGGGAGTCTGGGACCACGCCCGGCCAGTACGTCCTCACAGGACAGCAGGGGGGTCAGGCCAAACATCTACTACTGGTTGATCCCGAGGGAGTGGTGAGTCACGAGGAGAAGGAGATCAAAAGGGCAACAGATATGTCAAAGGGGAGGGACAAAGCATTGCTTAACAGAAACCTCTATTTTTTTTTTATAAAATGCCGCTGTGAAGCTTTGTTGACAGTCATGATTTTTTTTCTGTTGCCTTCAGGTGCGCACAAAAGACCACCGCTTTGGAAGCGTCAGTCACCTGATCAGCTACCACATGGACAACAGACTTCCCATCGTGTCAGCTGGGAGCGAAGTGTATCTCCAACAACCAGTGGAGCGCAGGGCCTGACGCGACACACACTAATGGATTACTCCACAAAAATAGACACGCTTTTGCAGCAGATCAACACCAGACACACGCACACACACGCGCTACGAAACATTTGTTAATATGCACACACTTCAGAGAAATCCCCCCCCTCCCCCAAAAAAAGAAAATAATCGATCATGTTGTTCTGCAAAATCACTCACTTGCTGCTGTCGCTTCATAGTCGTGATAAACTGTGACATGCAATCCCTCATCTTCCCCGCAAACTATCAGGTGCATCCTTAGGACGCGGAGAAGAACCATTTCCCTTTCCCAACCTACTGTGAACTATGTAAGGAGGAGCCCTTTACGAGTATCAGTACGGGGCAGAATAAAATGCAATTTTTTTTAAGGAAAAAATATGCATTGACAAACAATTCTGAAAAAAAAAACACATCTGTTGAAACATGGAACTGTTTACTGAAATTGTTGAACTGAAGAGGAACAGCAAGAGGGAGGGAAAAGGTTCCTTCTTCAGACTGTTGCTGGAGCATTTGAGGCAAAAAAAAGCAGGTGGAAGGAGCTGTTTGTTTCGGGACTGCACAGGGCTCCACCTCTGCCTTCAAGTGTCACTGGAGAACAGCGGCGAATGCGTCTCTGATGGTGAATATGCATCAACAAGTTTGCTTCCTATCTTATCAGGAGTGCCACCCCACCCCCAACCATGGCCCAATTAAGGACTTTTGAACTTTGACCCTTCGAGGACAGTCTGTATGCAAAATTGGAACTGCTATGCTAAAGACCATCATATATGTTCTTTTTGTGTATATTGGTTTGTTATGTCGAGTGTCATCACTCACTGAACATTTGGAAAACAGGAGGATCATAACAGCTGTATTTACCTGGTCCGTTTGCACAGACAGCTACAAACACACCTTTAAAACACACACACATAACACCACACCTCTTGTCATGCCAAAGATCAGAAACGTGGTTGCCAACTGTAGAGAAGAAAGCCATGGCAACTGTCAACAGTGGCGTGTTATGCTCATATTCAAACAGGCCTGTTTTGGAGCAGAGAGTGGGATTGTGCCTGAATCCAGCATTAAAAAAAACATCAGAAGAAGCTTTTTGAAGTACTTTGATGTCACCCTTAAACACAAAAACTAGAACATTTTGAAAAGCATACAGCGGATCAGTTCTAATGTTTGCTTTTCCTCGACACCTTAGTACGTGTTTGCATTGACAATCGATTGGCAATATCTTAAGAGGAAAAGCAAAGATGGATAAGCAACACAGTTCGATCTGCTAAACTATTGCAAAAGTGTGTTCTTGTAATCAAATGTGTAAAATTTGTGTATTGTGAGGGGAAAATCTAAAAAAAAAAAGTGTGAAACAACTGACTAGATTACTAAAAAAAACACGTTTTGGAGCATTGCAAATGATGAAATGTTCAGCCAAATGTTGCTCCTTTCTGTGTGTTTTTTTTCGTTCGTTTTTTTTTTCACAAGCTTACGAGGATCTGTACGGAGAGATTTGTTCTCTCCTCTCCTCGCTCAGTTCATGAGGTTTTTGTATCTTTTTAATTGTGCCTTGTTTCTTCAATGCAGTCGCGTCACTTCAATGCAGTCACCCTATGTACTTAAGTCAAATGTTATCAAATGCAGGAGAATTTCTGACTTTAACACAGACTCTGCAAAAATGACACTTCAAACACACAAAGACAAACAGCTCCAGTGATGGCAATCTCCTCCGATGCACCTTCTTGCATCCAGCTTCTAGTCACAGATACTTGATGTCACCATTGGGGAGGGAGGTATTTCCCAATCACTTGTAAATAACACGGATTTTTAAATGACCACCTTCATTGTTTCCATTGTATATTAAGACTCATACGATGAGTGGCAGCATTAAGGTAGCTAGGTAGAGAGCAAAGCCAAAATCTTAAATTACAGACATAAATCTGAATTTTTAAGTCGTCACCAGACTCTGGCAGTGTGTGTATGTCATCTACAAGCCAGAGCTACGGCACCCACAACCCGCCCATATCATTTTTGTGGGTCAGAAATAGGAAAGCCAGATATTTTGCCATTATTGTGTGTGCCTGTATTGCTGGAACACTCACTTGAAGGTCTGTATCATTAGTGAACTGGTCATGTGTTGCCATTGTTCATCACGGTTGCCTTTGTTGCATGCAGATCCTCTCAAAAGACTATTGTGGTTTGTTGTTGTGACAGTGATAGTGTTGATGATGCTGTTGTACTTTTTTGTGTTTTTTTTCAAAGCCAAAGGTTACTTTTGATTAGCGTGCACAGATGTTAATTTTCACTTTATATTTGTCATTTGAATAATTTTTGTTGTTGTTTTTAGAGGGAGGAGGACCTATCTGTTTACACCTGTATCTGAAAATATAGATTACATATATAAATGCATATATCATTCATCTGTGGCTGTGATTGTGGCTTTTAATTCAAGCACCAAAAAAAAATGGGCACACAGTACCAGAAAGGAAGATCACGGGTCACGTGCTGTTCTGAACAAAGTGGGATGATATGGGTATTGTACTGAAGCTGCTGGAACTCTCCTGTTTGGGAACAGATGAAGCTTTGACCCTAGGAAGCTTATTCAGGGATTATTAGAGCAAAGGCGGGTTTTGTAAGGGGTTACAACACAGGGGGACACCGCACTGAAAAGGTAAACAAGGCCTTTAATGTGTCAGTGGCTGTTCGAAACCCGGGAGGGGTCGAGAAAGAGCCTGATGTAAAAGCACGCAGCTTCCAGCGTGTGCATGAGTTTATAAGTAGAGGTGAAACCTGTCAGTGATATGAAGCAGACCCTGGCTGTTGCACGGGTCCAGTCCGATCTTATGTGGCAGGCATCGACCTACATTCCCTCTCTCTTGGCTTAGCCTCTGTCTTGACGCTTCATCTGAAGACATGCACCCCCAGCGCCCTCTTCCTCAGGCCATGCCCTCCTCCTCCTTGGGGCAGCAACTGCGGGATATGGCTATGGGTCTGGGACGAGGCAAGAACTTGCTGGGAGGAAACTTTGCCTATGGCTTCGTCCAGTCTGTGAAGGAGTGCCTTTATTTTCTCCTCTGCTGCTGGTGCATCAAAGAGATCCTGGACTGACGGACTGAAAGAGAGTATATCAAGTGGCAAAAGATTGATTTTTCCCATTTACCTGTTAGCTCCCACAGTGCATTTTCAGTCAGCATTAATTTAATCAAGAATGGAGTGTTTGATCAGCACCACTGGCGGAACATTGGTAAGTTTAAACTGTGTTATTACTGAGATCATAGAGAACTGATGTGTTTTTGCCTATCTGAAGACAATATTGCATTTTGAGAATTGGATTTCTGAATCATGTAATCTTTTCCTGTCTCTTTCAGTGTCTGTAAGGTTCCCTTTTGGGGTTTGAGAAATAACGCCTCCTCGCTTAAAGATGGATGTTCATGCAGAACTGGGTTTAAGTTTTCAGGATTCAACCGTAATGATCAGACATATCAAGAAAAATGGCATCCTATTGTAACTGTACACAAGATGGTGTGGCGATGAATAAATGAGCCAATCAACAGATCAATATTATCTATGCCTGTTTTTCTCTTTATTTATCTAGGTTTTTTAGCCAATAACATGTCAACATAAAGTTTGCGAGTTTTGTGAAATGTCAAATACAGTAGAATCTCAACACTATGCACTGACATATGTATGTGATAAAGTTTGTAAAGCAGCCTGGCCTTTATCTATTTATCAAAGTATGGTTATTGTCAGCATCAAAATAAAGGCTAATTCTAAGGACTGGTGGCGTGAAAGTCAGATTTTCAAAATCCCAAGTCTGAGTTAAAAACACGAAATAGACACGTTTTACACAGGCAGTGCATCTGCGCGTGTCAGTCAACTTGGCAGCTCTCCCACCCAAGGAAAAGGGCCATCGAGCTGTCATTGGTCCGGCTGGATCCCGTGAGGCGGGACAAGGAGAAAGGCCGAACGTGATTGGACGAGAGGAACGCGGCTCACGAAGTTCGGGAGGCACGCTCGAAGTTCTCAAGTTGGATGGGAAGAGTCTGAAGTGCTGCTGTCTCTCTGACGTACACTCTGAGATCTGAAGTTAACTAACTGACCACGGTAAGGACACCCTGAATTCAGTTGTGGCTCGTAAACGTCTTTTATTATCAATTAACAATGTGAGTCCCGCTGCTGTTTGCTTGTTGCTGTAGCCGCCTGCGTCGTTGACGTTTTCCTGGTTGTTCGGACAAAGTGGAAAATATTGTTTCTGATAACCAAGGTTGACAAATGAACGGCTGGTGCTCAGCTCGAATAATTTGCTAGTTTTTGAACAACGTCACTTTATTTAAAGTAGATATTTAACAGTCATAACGCTGTAAATTGTTCTGTTTATGGGCCCATCATCTTGTGACATTTCCTGTCACGCGAGCCCTCTCGCTTAATGAGCGGGCTGCTGATGCTGGGGCTGAAGTTTGTCCCGCTGTAGTGTATCCCCTTGACCTTTTTTGGTAAGTTTCTCCGCACTCGCTCTCAGATAAGAGCTGCTGCTGTAACCATGTGTTTGCTTGTATTTACACTCACAGGCGACCACACGCGTTGCCATGAAGGAAACACACGGCAACCGTGTTGTTTGTTTGAGAATTAAAGACAGCATCGATTATCCATGAATTACTATAGTTGAGGCACTTGTTAAATTGCTGTAACATAAACCCCCCAAAAGCTAGAACTTCAAAGGTTAGATTACAAGTTATATTAAAAAATGTTGGATTTAGACCAGACAAGATTATTTTTCTCTGTTTAAAACCTCCGGCTTTGAGGTGCCTCCAAAGGAATCCTTTTAAACCTGTCCTTAAAATACACTCCTCCCTTGTGTTCTTTACAGGCATCTACTTCCTGCTCCCTCTTTCAGTCTCTAGTCAATCTCTTGGTAGCTATATATAGCTGGCATCTATTTAAACCATTCCACGATACGCTCCACAATTGCTCCAAGGGCCCTAGGCTGGATTCAGTGGACCTCTCTTGGGAGGCACTCGATTAGGAGACCTAAATTGCGGAGGTGGGAGAGAATTGAATTTGGGAAGTGAAGTGTGTCATTACCCAGCCTATGTCGTCTTAAGATAAGTGCTCAGTTCTCTCTTTATTTTTCATTCTAAAACCCATATCTGACAACTTGTAGTACATATGCATCTCTGATAGCGTGATGCTCTGAAGCTTTGGAGAAGTGGGATTACCTGCTACCTGGCAGTATGTTAGCTTTCAGTCAGATGATGTGTTAGCGTGTGCGGACGTGCGGAAGATAAAGATCTGCCAAATAATCAGCAACGAATCCACCCCGCCACCCCGTGCAAACTACAGACATACCACACGGTTACAACATGGCAGATTGTAGATCTCCACCGAAAAAAGCACCATTTAGCTGTCAGTGTCTCCGGAACAGTGAAGGCCTTAGTTACCCATGTGTGTGCCAAAACATTTTTCAGCCAGGCAAAAGCCAGGGTGCCCACGACCCCCACAACACACGCAAACTGCTAATGAAGAGCTGAAGGCTCCAAGGCTGTAAGACTTCCCGTTCACTCACTCCTATGTGTACACACGCACTCACAGGATGTTGGAAGACATTACAGTAGGTCTTCTATTAGCACAAGGGGTGAGGCTGAATGGCAAAGGCTTTCATTCAAATCCTGTGCCTGTGGAAATGGTGTATGTAAATGTCTTAAAGCCACAGGACAATCGGCGCTGACCTAATTGTGGACCGATGGCGTCTTGTTGTGGCTGTCTATTTATATCATTCCCACTCGGCCCTTTATTTCCATGGTGTTGTATCTAGTTGGAAAATCCCCCACAGAGGCACGTGGGTTGTCCTCAGTTTCTGACTGACCTCAGTCCCCAAAGGTTGCTCTTCTTGTTCCTCTGTTGCAGGAGTCAGGCGAAGCCTGGAAGGGGCCATGTCTGGAGGCAGCAGTTCCAACAACAGCTGGACCATCCTCACTTCTGAGGTATCATCCAGTTCTAACGATTGTAGAGACGTGTGATGTCGCTGTGGATGACCTAATTGGAAGCGTATTCTCTAAAAAAGAAAGCTCCTTTTCCCAACTGGTTTTTCTTTTGGGTCACCTGAATATGAATTAGGTTCCTGCCATAAGTCTCTTTGTTTTTTTTGTGTTTTTTTTTACAAAACAAGTATGCAGAAAGGCAAACCAGCCTGGAGGTGTTCTACATGCACATTGGAGTACTGATGCCCAGAGATGACAAAGATGTCTGTGTGCTTATTAGCGTAGACCTTTCCTGTGGCGATTATTTTTCTTTTGGAGATTGTGATTGTCATTCTGTTGTCATTGCGTTGTAGGAAACTGCTGCTGAAACGCTGAGGCCCTTGGCAGCAGCGGCCCAGCAGCCTGAGGACGGCCATACATCTGCAGCAGGTATCTGCTTCACTACATTTATGCGTTGTGGTCTTACTCACTGCATGGATCTTCAAAAACACATTTATTGTTATATCTCCGAAATTATGTTTAAATGCACAGTTCCAACTGGATTAGAGGTGTCCAAATTGTTGTTTTTTGCCAGTCATCCCACAAATTTGGAAAAAGAAATTGCCTTATAAAGTCTGAATCTGAGAGTTTCAGGCAGGAAAAGTTTATTTGTATAGCACATTTCATGTATTAGACAATTCAAAGTGCTTCAGTTATCACCAGAGTATGTTTAGTCACAGTAATATGGATCCGATCAGCGGTGAGAGCGGAGCCAAAGCTTTGAGTCCTTATCCTCCTTATCAGAGCTGGCCGTGCATTTTTCTGCTCCTCCGAGCTGCTGTTGAAATGGGACATTCAACAACTTAATGTGGAGACGTGAGGGCGGGATGGGGGGGTTCTTTGATAAGCACAACAATTTAACAATAGATTGTCTAAAATTGTCTAACCGAGTAGTGCTCGGGCCAAGCATTCAGCTAAATGTAATCCTGGGATCTTTCCCTGTGTTGACGTTTCACGGCTGTTCATGAACAACATGATCACCACTGCTGGCAGGCAGCTCCAGCTTCGTCGTAGTAAAATGACTGACTCATACTTTCCAAAGAAACCGACCTCAGATAAACATTTTTTCCACATTGTCTGTCTTTATTGACTAAATACTTTGAAGGGATGAAACACACCAAACCACATAAACACTGGCCAGCCTTCTGTTCATGTCCAGTGCGTCAGCTGCTCGTGTCACAAGAAACAGTTGCTCTATTTCCAGGAGTGTCAGGGGGAGAATGTTGAAGTCCTGTCTTAAATGCTCCCTCTGCTGTGTCTTTGTTGGATAAACCAGGTTGTGGAGAGAACAGCCAGTCTGCAAATGGTGCAGAGTCTGCAGAAAGGCTCCCTGCGGAGGACTACCTTGTAAGACAGCATACAAATCATGTTCTATTATGTAACAGCCTTATTTGTCACATGCTTTAGCTGAATATGTATTTATGGCTGGCCAATGAAAGTGTTCTGCCCTTATTTTTGTAATTGTCTCATACATGAGTTGCCAAAGCGTGTGTTTTCAAACTGTTTATAGAGCAGAGGTGAAGATTTTATTCTGATCGGAGCCTAACTTCAGATAGCTGCAGGTGTTAAGTTCCAACTCGAATTTAGAAAATGGCTCATTTTGTCTGTGGCCACAGCAAAGTTTCCCCCAAAACAGCTGTGCTTCACTAGAAGTGGTGCAAACACAATGATTTATTCTGGATTCTATATTATTAGTATCCGAGACCTCAGTTTGCACTTGTATTTCCTCTTTTTCATGACTTTCTTCCTCTATCCAGGCATCGGAAGAAACCCCAGAGCAAAGTGGAGACTCAACCTCAGATCTGCACACCGCAGCTGTCTCCGAACCCCCCCTTCCGTCCTCTCAGGGAGCATCTGCCACCTCGGCCCTGGGCAGTGATGCAGTCAGCCAGGCAGAAGGCCTACCTGAGGGCCCTGCACAGCTCAGCCCTGGCACCGATTCATCCTCTGACTCTTACACCCTCCTAACCCCTCCGCTTGATGAGCCCCCAGTCCCACTGCTCAGCACAGAGACTCTTGGAGGTGCAGAGTTTGCACAGGAAGAAACGCTGCCTCTGCAAAACGGTGAGAAGCTGCACCCGGAGGGGGAGGAGTCAGCTCAGCACCCAAAGTCAAGTGACCTAAGTAAACAGGCAGGTATGTACAAAACAAGACCTCGGGCAGGTTGTCGCTCCGTCAAAAGCTGCAATATATAAAGCAATATTGTGTCTTTTCTCTTTTGGGGTTAAGTCCTGTGTACCGTTTGTGTTTGAAGTGTACTTGGTGGACCAGCTGGTCATGGACTTGTTCCGTATCTGGGCCAGGAAGTTGCAGGGAGAGGATGTGGTCGGTATGAGAAAGGGAGCATGATGTGACAGAAAAACTGACAGCTCCATGGCGCCCCGTGAAGGAAATTGGTTTTAGTGGGACTGAGAACTTTAAGATTTGGCGTCATTGTGGCTTTGATCGGCATCTCCCTGTTTTGCTACAGCATGAACAGTTCAGTCTCCTGTTTGCTCTGTTTTACCTCTGTAATTACTAGCTACTGTTGCTGTCTGGCAGGGAAATGAGATACAAATGGCTTTGAAAAACTGAAAAGACTCTTGTTTCACGGTATCAGAGTTTCCCGTTTGTGAATTTGACTACATGCTATATACATGCTATTGCCTTTTTATGCAGTTTAAATAAAAGTAAAGCGGGGCAAATACAGTACAGCCAATGTGCAGCACCTCTTTCCTCTGTATGTGTCAGAGTATTTCTCCTTTAACTGGCAGCACTCTGGGCTCTGTGTGAGATCCAGGCTCACACATCATTTCACCTCTCAGACAGTTTAAAATCATGCTGCCATGAGTTATAAAAGAAAAGCAACTTTCTAGACAGGCCGTTTCTGTAGCTGGAGGACTCTCTCAACCCCCACCCCCCCTTCAGAATGTAGGCAGCACACTCAGCTGTCCACACAGCAGTGAGCTTCTCATCTGAATTTAAATTTGAAACAGAAATAAGGTGGAAGCTGTTGGCTACTTTGGCCTTTGTCTGACAAAACTTAGCAGCTGCCGGTAAATGTGTACACTCTCCACTGGGCACATCTGAGTCTCTTTGTCAGTCTGTGTGACTGTTGAAGCAGAATGACCCGTAAAAGAGCCCACACTGCCCAGTCTGATATGCTGTTATTGTGAGACAGAATATTGTATGCTTATTTCAAACAGGAAGCTGTAAATCAAAGAGGTTTCTCTGCTTTTATTCCCCCACTGTCCTTCAGTATGTTTAATGGGTCTAGAAAAAAGTCAGCAAATCTTCATATTCCCAAGCCTACGACAAGCTATTCCCTCCCTAAAAGGACAGTGAGTCTTGAGCTGTCTGAAACACTGTCTGGAGCTTAGGTTTTATTTCATTCTTCATCTCTCTTACCCTGAAACAGCACAGTGCCAGCTTTGTGGCTAATTAAACACTGGATAAATGTCTTGCCTTTTTGCTCAGCTAGCAGATCAATCCGGGCCGATATTTATTTTCAAAAGATGCATCTCAAAGAAGCAGGATCTAACATGAAGCGTTTTTGACTGACTTTGTTTTAAGGGAAAGCATGGAAACATATTCTGTCACACACCTAAATAATCACGAGAATCCAAATTACTGCCAAACATGAAATAACAGCAGGTCCAATGGGAATGCTGTTTGTGTGCTCCAGACTCTCCTGTGGATTCAGAGATCAGTGAGGACAGAACAGAGAAGACGGATGAAGCACCAGATGAGAGGAGGAAAAGGTCTCTCTTGGCAGCACTAGAGCAGATTGGAAGGAGAGAGGAGGAAGAGGAGGAAGAAGAAGAGTATCAGGTTCCCCAGCGAGAAGAAGACAGTGGTTTCTCTGTGAACAAGTGCATCCTGGGTGCTATCATTTTGTTAGGTCTCGGCACCATCTTTTTATCAGGTAAGCGTCACCTCACGCCAAAGTTGTTAACATTTTATTGCAATCTTGGAAGCATTTGGAACATGTTAAAGTGGAAAGTAAGCAGCAGACTAGATGTAGGATGCTCTGAGACTGAGGTGTATTGTACCTGCAGGTATCTTCATGGACCTGGATGAGGGTAGGTTATTTCAACATGTTCATTTATATGAAGGGAAATTATTAATCTCTACTTAGCTGCAGCATGTGCAGCATGTATGTGCACACACAAAGGAAAATAACAGATTTTGCATGTGATATTTAAAAAAAAAGAGACTTTAAAACCACTGCTTGTTTGTTTTTTTCTCATTTTACACATCACAACTATTTAGACTTGGACCATCTAAGGAAATCTGCTTTCCATCCCTGCTTTAGTCATTCAGTTGATTTAAAATCCTGTATATGGTTTTTATCCGGGTTGATAAAATAAAAAAACCTGCAGAAAAGATAAAAGTTTGATTAGTGTTCGTGTTGTGTTTTACTAACTCAATTTACAAACCTTTTACATTGGTATTGGGTTGTGTAATTGCCATTTATCTCACCTATCGTAAAATAAATGTTAAATTGATTATTGCCTGGTTACTATCACACTTACTTCATAACTGGCTGTTCAGTTTGTATATTTTGCATGTTATAAAACAGTGTTTTTATTTCCTCTTTGCACATTAAGACAAAACCTTTGGGATCCTTTTTTTTCCGGCAGAGAACGATTATGCGACGAGGGAGCTGAAAGATGCAGAGCCACCAGGGCAACAGGTCAGTATAAAGGTCTGACAAATAGCATCACATCCGGCCTCCTCTCCTCCCAATGTGTTTATCTAATGATAATAACTTATTTAAAAAGAAGTTGGCGTGCTTTAAGAAAAACATATGGCTATTAATGTTGTTCTATGCTCAGATGTCCCCAGATTAAAAATTGCTGTAGGGAATGCTGGCAGTGTTAAACAACATGCTGCATCTATTACAACAGCATGGCATCTTGGAAGAGGAGTTTGGCTGAAAAGGACCGAAAACCTCTAGGCAGTTTACTAACAGAACACATTTGACACATCGTGAAACTCGAAATACAGCAAAGAGAACTCAGCTAGAATCCTCTGTCAGGCAAGAATAGGACAGCAGTCCACCAAGGGTTTTTCGCAGGTGGACTCTACACTGTGCCCAATGTGGTGTTTAAACACCTCAAAAAGGCTCATATTCTTTAACAAAAGGGTAAAATGCCTGGCTGTCAACTTTTTATTTGTTTTCCATGGACCAATGTGACTAAAACATTAGTTTATGAGAACTGGAAATCATTGCATCAGTTATTACTCACACAGCCTTCCTACTTCTGTGGGTTTGGCTGGCAATAGCATTGATATTATAATTATTTGCATTTGTGTTGCTCTGTGTGTGTATTTGTTGACAGGAGTGGCTCAGTCCTGAGGTTCGTCCTCTCCGAGTAGAAGGTGACAGTTCAGAGCTCCTGAATAAGTTAGCTGAAGGAAACCAGCACATTTCAAGACTACAGGCCAATCTTCAGGTGTGGCTCCATTCAATTTTTTGTGAACACACACACACTAAATGCATTAGACAATTGCACGCCTTTGCATAAAAGTGCTCGTGAGTGTGGAATGTTCTCATGGGACCCTCTCCTTATGCTCTTTTTCTATAACCAGGCACAGAAAGACGAGCTAAATGTAGCCAAGGGACAGGCAGCAGAGGGAGCGAAGGAGATGCTGCACTGGGAGGAGGTGGAGAAGGAAAACAGTAGGTTAAAGACAGAGGTGGCATCTCTCCCTGTCCTTCAGAAAGAGAACGAGAGGATGAAGAAAGAGCTTGAGTCTGTCCCGGCCCTACAGAAAGAACTAGAAACACTGAGATCCACTGTGACTGGATTAAAACTCTCCTCAGGTACAAATAAACTGAGAGAGGGGGTAGGAAGGGTTTCTGGAGGAGAGTAGAAAATGTAAATGGATGATAGTTGGTAGAGCAAAAAAAAAAGAAGCTGTTAAGTTTATTCTTTTTGCTACTAATACTTTTAATGGAAACTTTTTACTTCTAGAGATTGACAGACTTTTGTGTTTTTCAGCAGAAGGTAAGGCAGCTCAAGATAAAGTGAAGCCTGCCACACCGCCCCCCAGTGGCCAACCAGCAGACAGCAGGCAGGCCGCAGCCGGGTCCACAGAGAGACAGGCCAGGACGCCACAGGATGACAAGAAAGAAAAGACTGATCTTAAAAGGGAGAAATATGAAATAGGTGACAAGAAACATGGAAAAGATAGACAACAATCTCAAGAGCCTAAAGATGGTGGTAAGAAAGAATGGAAGAAAGGAAAACATGAGCAAGTTATGTTTGAAAAGGAGAAAGATAAGGCAGGAAAGCAAAAGAAACACAGTGATGATACGAAGCAATGGGAGGAGAAGAACAGGAAAAAAGAGAAATTAGGCAAAGGTGATGACGGAAAACCTTGGAAGGAGAAGGAAGGCAGGAATGATTGGACAGAAAAGAGTGGGAAAAAAGAAAGGAAAGAAGATAAAGACTGGAAAAAGGGAAGGTTTGACAAAACAAATGAAGGTAAACAATGGAAGGCTAAGACAGAAAAAAAGGACGGTCAAGGAGGAAAAGATCGTGGTGAGAGACACAAGGACAAGGAGGAATGGAATGGAGACAAGGAGTGGAAGAAAGTGAAAGATGGCTTTAAAGAAAGTAGCAGGGAGAAGTGGGAGAAGAAAGAGAAAAGAGAGCTGAAAGGGTTGAAGAAAGACCGGGAGTGTAGGACCAAAGATGACAAAGATCATGCAAAAGAAGGGAAAGGAAAGAATGAAAGGAAGCGATGGGAGAATGACAAAGAAAGGACGGGGAACAGTGAGAGGAAACAGTGGAATGAGCACGAGTCAGGCAGAAAACAAGACAAGGACTGGAAGAGGAAGGACGACAAGAGGGATCAGAGGAGCAAGAAAGAGGAGGACTGGAAGAAAAGGGGACAGAAAGAGAAAAAGCAAAACGGAGAGGGGAAAAAAGACAAGGCGCACTCGCTAACAAACAAACATGAGGACAAACCGACGCAAAGTCACGGCCACAGGGAAGAGCACCTTTACGGGGACGGAACCCCCCCGCACACACACCGCAGGCCCTCTGTGGGACAGCCCGAGTACTGGGCCCGGCAGAGAGACCGGCTCCAGCACAACCCCACACCGCCTCAGCACTGTGAGTCTCTGGAGAAATGCGCTCAGGCCGAGCAGCTGCTCCCCGTCCCCTACCCCGAGTTCCAGGCCCTCCTCCACACCTACCTCACCAGGGCAGGGGAGGCGGGCGTGGCCGATTCCGAAAGGGAGGCGCTCGGAAAGCTTGCCGCGGAGTTCTTCAAGGACGGCGTGTTTGTGCACGAGCAGATGAGCTTCCAGGAGTTTGCCGAAGATGTGGCCGATATCTTGGAGGACCTGGTGGAGGGGGAAGATGGGGGAGACGAAGATAGCGCCATAGAGGAAGAAATGGAGGGCTTTGAGAGAGAAGTCCTGAAGCGGTTTTCAGTGCCAGGAGCCAGAGAGAAAGTGGGGAAAATCAAAGGGGAGTGGAGGAAGGAGAGCGGACAGAACCGTGGCTGATGGGGTGATAGGATATCTATAAAATAGCAGCTGAGACGAGTGAGGACAGTCGAGGGTTTACTCAGAGGGAACACTTCCTTTGGGACCACAAATGCTTAAAGGTAACATCAGTCAGCCTGTCATCCTTTTGCAGGATGCCCTATCTCAATGTGCCACTTCAATCTGTCGTCCATTAGAAGTTTTACCCACGCACACACACACACACACACACACACACCTTATTGCACTGTATTGTATGGGAGGGGTTGTATCTACATCAACCCAGCATGTTTTGTGCCAGTGTTTGATCTAGACAAAACCCTCTAATACATCTAAATGTTTTTTTGTCTTTCTTTTCTCACTCAGCAACTTCTGCAAACGGTGAAATCCTTTATTTTTTAAGTCCTTCACTCCCAGTCCGTGTATGGTAGATTAAACCTGCTGGGAGCTTTTTTCCCAGTGTTTCTAGTCTTATTTGAGCACTGCACCCATTTTCTGCACTGTTTTAGGTTTGCGCACGCAGCCGGAGAATCTTAATGTCTCACTTTAAAGCAGCCGGTCAACAACGCTCTTTTCAGAACGAGGGCCTCCACATGGACGGCTGGAGACGTTTAGTAAAAGTTTAATGAGACGTTAGCGGAGTTTGAATAGAAGTTATTTCCACGTTTGTACATTTTTCATACGTGCTAAACAACCTGCTGAATACACTTAACTTATAGAGACTGGCTGTGTATAGAAATATGAATGTCGGGCACATACGGTAGTTACATGTTGAAGATGTTTGTTTGTTTTCAGGTACTATTTGACCAGGAATGTAATTGATGTATTTCTTAAGGTGTGTTAGGCTGTGGTGACACTTACACATTGTTTTCAGAGGAGATTTCTTTCTCTGTTTTTCTGCTGATGAACTAAACTGCAACCTTGTTGTACCAGAACAGAAACATGTTATTGTGACTTTGTGGCAGCATAGATGAACGTTGAATGTTAGGATGTTTGTCTGCATCCTGCTATGTGCTTTAAAGATAATAAATTGAATGCCTGTAAGTCATAAAGTATCTTGATTTTTCTTTTTCTTTCCTTTAATACTCACCAGTTAGATAGTTATCTCCAAATACCCCAAGGGGTGCTTCAAACCCTCTAAACTATTTAGAATAGTGTTTATTTCTGTATCAATGTGACTTCAAACATAATATTTCCCTTAAAGTAGTTGTAAAGGAATGTGATCCAGCATTACATTTGTAAATGGCAGGATCATGTGAACTACTATTTTCTGCATTGGTGGCCACCGATTATCAGTTCTGCACAGCAGCGTGAAAAGATTTCAGCCTCCTCCTCGATACAGAGCCTCTCTGCATTTCCAAACATGAGCTTTACACCTCACAGCCTCTGCCTCTTCCTCCTGAAACATTCATTTTAACCTCTGGCAGAGCGACTCGAGGTCAGCGTCCCCTTTGGCTCATTTTGGTTCGTACGCGTATGTTTTCTTTTCCTTCCTCTAAACGGTCAACATTCAAGTTATGACAGAGAGATATGTTTTTTTCTGTCAGCTGTCCAAAAAAAACAAAAATACAGCATTCATTCCAATAGGGGCAGCGGGTGTCAGCATTCTGAAGCCGTTTCATGTGGAGAAATGGATTTTAAAAAATTCCCCCAGATGATTCATGGAGCTGACTTTGAATTTTTGTTGGCAACATCTCACAGTGTTTATTAAGGAAAGGATTCATTTCCTATTATTCACAGATACGTAACAGGGCCGATGTTTCTCAATAGAAAAATATGGCAGTGAAGAGAATGAAGTTACATTCAGTCTATGAGATACAAACAAGCAAAAAACACTTCATTAGATAAGAGAAGAATCAGCCATGGACAGGCCGGGGGATGTGTCAGCCTGCAGGCACTAGATGGAGCAGTGAGCTCTGCTCTGTGAGTGAAGAACCCCACTGTGAGCTGGAATGAACTCGTGCTTCCCATGAATGTTTCACATGTCCTCCACAGAAAAGCTCGCATGGATTTAAAGGGCGCTCCCGGTGGCAAACTGAAGGCCTTGTTCATAGCTCTTTTATCTTAGAAATGACTGCGAGTGCAGCATAAAAGTCACTTTATTTATCTCCTACAACAGTTTAGATACAGGAGTCTAGTTGTGTTTCATGTGTGTGTTAGAGGATGATATCATATATGAGACTAACTTTAATTGATGGCTCTATTGGCCCTTTTGAACCGAGACAAAGTAGGACTTTTTAAGGCCCAGCAGAGGATGCAGCGCTGTCTTTTCCATCTGTGGAAAATTCCATGTTTCCTCTTGAAAGCACGACTAAGGTTTCCACTTCAGCCACCAGGTGGCGCCAACACCCCGTCCCCGCGTGCCAAACCGCCAGTGCTGATGCTGCTCTTATTCCTGGACTCATGTGCTCGGCAGCGGAATCACTTTTCCTCTGCCCCCTCTCCACAACCGCCCAGAGCCAACGATGTGGAAGTACTCGATCATTCACTGACTGTCAGGGTTGTTATTACTCTCTGATACATGCCGTTTCCTGTTTGCCTGCAGAATGCTGGAAAACTCTCTGTTGTCGCCCAACTTCTGATTTCATTGGACGAGAACAATGATGGAGAGCTCAGCTTCCTGGATCCTTGCGACTGATTGGACATCTCACCAGCAAGCAAGGGGGTGGGGGTGGGGGGGTTCAGCCAATGGACTGACCTCAGATACTCTTTCAGTTCCATGTGTGCCACTGAATTGTGCTTGTGTGTCCATATGTGTGTGTGTGACATATAAAAGTGAAGTCACCCAAATGGAAATCACTGGTCCGCTTTTAGCTGCGCAGGACTGTGTTCTCCATTTCTTTGCACCCCGTCTCTAATTAGAGGCTGCCAAGCTGAGCCAAACGCTGTCACAGAACAGTTCCACTCGCTCTGAAGCCAACAGTAACCATTTCCCAACACACTCACGCACACACACACACACACAGCTGCATGTAGCCACAGGTCTAAGATCAAGCTGCAGAGTGGGAATGGATTGTCTGAAAAATGTGTGTGTCAGCGTTTTCTGGCTCCACTTATTCCTGGAAGACTTCACCTCTCTCCAGGACACAATCAGGGGTGTGGTGTTGGCAGAATGAGAAAGATTAGATATGTTAAGGTTAAAAAAAACAACAACAAAGGGATTCGAACCAAAAAGTAAAATGATGCCCAGAATCACTTCTGTACAGAGTTTTTTTGTGTGTGTGTGTTGTTTGCTCATATTTGTGTAAGGCACCATTTGTTTGTACTTTTTCTACATGTCTCAGGGTGTGGCTTGAGTACATCTGACTGTTAGGAGAGCTTAGAGAGCTTTGAGTACCCGCTTCTTCCCGCATGGCAGAGAAAAATAATGATGTCTACGTGTAAGACCAAAGCACTCATACATGGAAAAGGAAAGCAGTTCACGAAGGGAATAAAAGAGACATCTCCCGTAAAAAAAAAAAAGAAAGTTTTTTCAGAAAATGTTGCCGTGAATAAACTGTTGCCCAAGCTGCGCCCCTATCCACATTCCTTCTCTCACAGGCACACGCCCTATGACAACCAGAGAAGAAAAAAAAAAAGAAACAGTTGGCTACAGTGGATGTGAAATCACGGAAAAGATACGTGTTGCTGGTTGATCTAGCACAAGGCTGGTGAGGAGGATCTGCGAGAGGAAAAGGAGAAGAGCAGAACTAGTTTTCTAAAGTCTTTTGTTGCTGTGCCGAAGGTGAGTCTGCTCTCACGTCATTCCTCGTCTTTTTTTTTGCGCAGATGTACATTTGCAGCCCAACGAATAGTTCGATTGGTTTCTTTTTTTTTTTGCAACATGTCATCAATTTTGTATAGTTCTCTGTTGCCACTGCCCGGCTTGGTGGCCGCAGGGATCGGGTTCCCTGTCTTGGTAATCTAACTCCAGTCCTTTTACACTTCCAGGGAAACCGGAGTCCGGAGTCCCATTTATTTATTAATTTGCTGCCAGTGTGTCGTGCTGCCTCTGGTCGCTTAACAAATTGTCTAGATTAGTTAGGGCTAAATGTAAATGTGGGGCATGGACAAACCCACGACATCTCCGTTACGCGCAGCGGCGCGCAGCTGTTTTCTGCCCCGCGCGTTAAGGTCGTTCCGACAGGCACGTTTCAGATGTGTGTCTCTTATCAGGATGAATTATTCACTTATTTGATAAGACGCCGGTAGTGAGATTCGAACGGCCTGGGCCTGTTGTGGTAAACGAGAGAAGGGAGAGGAAATGGTGACCAGGGCGATGACAAGTAACATGTCCACAGAGGAAGTGAGTCAGTCACACCTGGCTCAGACAGCACAGGCCGGGTGGAGCCCATCGGTTTGATCAGAGGGGAATAATGGTTTCTCCTGATATATCGATTATCCAACAGTGAGTGAGAACTGGAAAACTTTCACTCAAGAGATAGAGAAAAGTAGACGCCATTGTGGCTGTTTCTCGTTAGGAGGGGAGGTCATAGGTGTGGGTGGATCTGTCTGAATCACCACACTTTTTTCTCTCTTTTTTGAAGCATGCCACTTAGATTTTGTGTGTGTGTGTGGTATTCCGATCAAATGGGACGAAAGAGCCAGAATTCCTCAAACCAAGCCAGTCATAGGGATGAAACTACCAGCGGGGGTTCACACAAGCATTCATTCCACTTGAGTCACTCTCATTGTTTTACACTCTGAATCAGAGTTTATATGTGCCCAGAGACCAGCACTCAGCACACACACACACACACGCACACACACACACACACCTTCCCACCCAACTCACTATCTTTACAAGTTCCTTCCTGCCAATTTGTAATTCTGCCGCCCTCATGACTCCAGTTGGGACAGAGGCCTTTTGGGTTTCATGTTCATCTCATTACACTGGACAGAGACGCTAATGGATGGGGGCCTGCCAGGCATTTTGATGTATGGCCTCCTCCACTCATGCACACGCACACAAGTGCCTGTCTGCCCGCACCTGTGCCGGTCAGCCCGCGGACGAGGCAGCGAAGGTGTTGGGACAATCATAGCCGCCCCATGAAATAATGATGAGCAGCATGCCGATGACAGATGTTCGCTTGATGGTTGGATGGCTGCGAGCGGTGCGTAAGTGCTGGCACAGAAAGGAGGGAAGAAACCAAACCCGGGGGTTTGGAAACCGGCTCGCGCTCACACACTAATTAGGTTAATGCAGCAGAAGTCCTAATTGTCCTTCTTTAGATGTGTTTGCGTGGATCTCTGCGTGCAGGCCAGTGTGGAGGGTATATTGTAAGCACTGAGGTGTGGCATTTGTGTCAGATGGAAGATTTGCCAGCTTCTACTCTTACTCCAGCAACACCACTCCAGGTACCCATGATCATTAGCCTTCTTGTGGTCACTGATGCTGCAGGGTAGTTTCCAATACACGGTAGAAATCCTGCTTCAAGGCCTCACTCACTCACTGATACTTGTCAGCCCATATATATATTTATACAGCTGTGATGTAAGGATTTGCTGAATGAGTAATTTCACAAAGCATTTTTATCCTGGAAGATAATCATGCCATGTGTTCAGTGATGGATTTTAGTCTCCTAAAATGGACTCCAGAGGGTGGGAGCTGCATTTGTTGTTCGTCATTTCTGTGGTGGTCTGGATCTGTTTTACCACCCCCTCTTAGTTTTAATTATTTGCAGCTGGGAGCATTTTTTTTAAGTTACATTCAATTTATTCTTGCATGGCTTTAGAAAGTACACATTAGTGTTACACAGCAAAAACAAGGTTTTTGTAGACAAGGTCCATAAAGAGTCTCTTTGGTTGAGATGGGTCAAAATATTCCTAAATTGCCTACAATTCCCTAAACTAGACAAAAAGGATTTGTCTAAATATACATGGGATGAAAATACTCTAAATCCTTTATACTTTACTAATATATCTTAATCCCCGAAATATAATTAGTTCATGTGAAGATTTAATGATAGTCTTTTCAATAAATGGATAATAGTGATCAGTCGTGGTTGTGTATCTTGTTCTACTGTTATAACAACAAGGATCTAATAAAGTCGGGAAAGCGCATGCTTTAAATGCAGTATTAAATCAAACTTTTTTTTTTAAACAAACAGTGTTGCAGTCCCTTTCGCTATGTATATTCACATGTATTGATTATTTGCTTTCATTTTGAATGAACTAATTGTGGGTAGTTCTTGTTCTAAATGACTGGTTGGTTTCGGTCACATTGGTGTTGTAGAATGATTGTGTCATCGCCCCGAAGATGTGTGAGTAGGGCGCGGCCCGTAAAACAAACACTCACCATGAGGAAGCCTTACGGCCGAAAAGTGATTGGCAAATTTAGAGGCATGTGGGTCCAGAGTTTGAAACACTTTTTGTTCCAACAATTTGTTCCTAATGATCTGCAATTCTCTTCAGATTTTTGTGTTTGGTAATGGTTATGTTATGGTTTTTCCACCAGGGCAATATTATGTTCTATTTCCTTACAAAAACAACTAAAGCAACAAGTTTTGTCATTAGATGCTGGTTAAAAGGAACAGTTGCCAATGTATACTCAACTATATCTATACAAAAATTTCTGTTTGTATAGATATACTAATGCAATATCAAAGCCTTGAGAAATAAAATAGCGTGACTCTGAGGCTTTTTTTGTATATTACAGCACAATGACCTGGACTTTGTTAGCATTCATAATAAGTTTTAAATGCAAAGATATTTTCCTAAAGTATGGGAAAGCCTTTTAGGTTTAAGAAAGAATCTTTAAAAAGGGTCTCACTACATAGTGGAAGCAAACGGTCACATTCTTTTGATTGACAACAATTGCTGTTTGAATGTTTTCGTCTCTCTTGTTTAATCTTTTTTTCTCTCCACAAACATCTTGCATTGGAATCTGGTGTTTCATGTTATCATCGTGCTAAATTCTACTGAGTCAGACTAAAGGGGCTTTCCAGCGTTATAATCTGGAGCACGCAGGATGGATTTTGGTCTCATTTTATTTCTCTGAAAAGGCACTTTCATTTTAATTTCACAGAGAAGGGTTCCGAAGGTGTGTTGTATGGTATCGGCTTTAGTCTGTTTTCAGCTGTGCCCCTCATTTCCTTTCATCGTCGCCTGTATTTTTCATTTGTGCATTGTGTTGTGAAGCAACCGAACTGGATCCCAGCACATATTTGTCATAGTTGAGTGAGCAGGGGTGCAGCCTCTGAGGGTGGCCGGGCTCTCTTCTGGTGTCCCAGAAAACGGCCGGCGCGCTGGCATGCACAGTGCACGACCCGCAACTCCATCGGTGAAACGATTCCACTGCCATCGATTTCATTGTTTTACTGCTGTGTGGAGTGCAGTGACATGTCAGAATGTCCTCTGTGAGAGGAGAGAAACCTGTAGGGAATGCTGACGGGCAGAATGGCTTCTTGTTAGGTTCTCTATTATCTGCAACACAATGATTCTTTGTCTAAACTCGCAATGCACTATGACAGCAAAACTGCTCTTACTATATAAACGGATTACGATACAAATGAGCTCATTTACCGTTTGTTTGTTTTTTTATCCTGACAATGCGAGGAGCACACAGGGTTTGTCTTCAGGCTGCTAGCTTTTACTTGACCGGCTGGGTGATGTTTTTCAGGTCATGACTGTGTATAGCGTGGGTCGTGCCCTCCCGCAGCATGTGTGGATGCGGGCTGCAGGAGACGAGGATTTGGCAGTAATCTGAACTTTCAGCCTCCTGTGTGGTTTGAGGGATCAGATGTCCACCATCAGAGATCATAGCTCCCATTGTGTTTACCTCTACAGGCTCCCCTTCACTGCGGCCTTCCATCACGCCCCCTCTTTCGCTCTGTTTACCTCAGACAGCCTCCGCACCGCTCTCCCCCTTTTCCACCTCCTCCAGCTTTTCTAAGCTGACATCATTTTTTTGTGTCTCACTTTTCCTGCATATCTATGCGGGGGAAACCTGAGTATGTCAAGTTCAAATTCAGAGTCATGATCTAATCTGTCTTAAATGACCTGGACTTCTTTGTTTCTTTCCATTGAAATGACATGTTTACCCCCAAAATAAACTGATGATAATCAACAAGACAAGATCACAAATGCAAACTAACTAACTAACTAACTAAAGAGAACGTATTTTCAGCATTCCAGTTTGGAGGTCTTCCAAAACCAGAAAGGATAGACATAAATCTAAGTGCTTTTGTTGAAGCTACTTGGAACAGCACAGCCTAGATGAGCCCTGTTAAGGCCCACTCTAGGCCCTGTGTAAATGAATTTTCATATTAATAAAATTCCCCTGAATCGTTGCTCACGGCCCATTGTTTGAGTCTGGAGGTCTTAGATATGGCCATATCTCTTCTTGCCACACTCACTCTTCTCTCTGCTTTGTGCTCTTGTCTTTCTCTCTAACAGAGATATGGAGTCAGCCATTCAGACACTGGTGACCACGTTTCTTAGTTCTTCTAAGGGGAAGGAGAACCTAGACAGCAAATCTTTTAAAAAAATGGTCCAAAAACAGCTTGGTGGCATGATGGAGGTGAGAGTGTGCTCTGTGGATAACCCTCACATGACCCGTAACCCCAGATCACTGCTCTTAATGAAGAGTGACAGTCTCTCTTGGCTTACTCTGTCCCATTTTGCTCTTTTCAGGATACAAACAGCAGCTCTGCTATTAAAGAGATGCAGCAGGGTCTGGATGAGAACAGCGATGGAAAGGTCAGCTTCCAGGAATACCTGACCTTGATCGGCTACCTGGCGAACTCTCTTAGTCAGAGTAAATCTGGATCCAACGCGAATGCATCCTAAAGGCCGTCATCTTTGGGAGAAACTCAAATTGGCAGACACCTCCCGTTTTTCCTAATTTTTAAACATAAGAGCCACAGCCCATTTTACTGAATCCTATTACGTTCTTAAATACATCTTTAACATCAAGTCTGCTTTTTTTTAAAACTGTCTGTCATTGTCCTCGAGGAATAAAAGTTATCTGAACTGGTGTTTGTTTTTTTGTCATACCAATTCAAAAAAATGTATCACATTCTCAAAATAAATTCTTTATATGAAAACCTATTTGCTTCCTTTTTGTTTCAAAGAAATTACGTAGTCTTATTTTATTAGCCATTAAATTCCATTTGAACTCTGCAGGAAAGCCCAACAATAACGCTGCCCGTGTTGGGAGGGTTCCCTGGCAGGGCCTGACTTTGTCCCACAGGAAACAGAGCAGCGGTGCCTACCTCGCTGCGTACCTGCAACGACTGCTAAATATATCTATGGTTTCCCTACTAGTCAAACTCATTAGCCTTTGGATGCATCAACTATTGCAACCCGATCCTGACATGCAGTATGCTTCCCATTGTGCGGCGCCCTCCGCTCTGCAACACTATATACACGTTTGGCGCGCACGAGCATGCGCACGCAGACACCGCTGGCCCGCCTGCTGACACAAAATACTGCAGCAAAGACACATAAACGAGGAGGAGATGCTCCTTCTGTCATGGGTTTTAACAAAAATACACTGAAATGTTTCAACAAAAGCACCTCCGCTTTACTTTTCATGAGGAATTTGGCTCAGATATACATGATTGCGTTAATATTTCTTTTAAGCTGCCTTCCGTTTTCATGCTGTTAAGCTCTGTCTGTCTCTGTGATACAGTTTCCATGTTTGGTGGCTTTATATCATGGTCTATTAAAAGTGTGTTTCTGTTCCTGCTAACCTGCCGGTTCACTTTTTCACATTTCTGTTCCTGTTGAAGAGTTTCTTTTTTATCTGTTTTGTGCTTGTTCGTTTTGGGGCTTCAGGTGCCAATGTCTTTATAAAGTGTGCTTGTGTGCATGTCCTTTCATTGTCGTGTCCTGCTTTGTGTGGGGATTTCTCTGCATGGCTGCCAGGTGTGATGGCTCCATTCATCGGCGCTGCACTAATCCGTGGGATACTGTATCAGGCATGACCCTTCACTCTCCTCTGAAACAGCTAATCCAACGCCCCACCACTCTCTCTGCTGCTTAAATCCCTACGCATCTGTAAACTCGCCAGGTTACTCAATTCAGTCCTGACTCAGTATTTGGTTTAAGGCTCCTCGCAGAAGCACATTCTTGTCTTGACACGAAAAGCAAAACAGTTGCGTAGCAGAGATTCGGGATAGTCGACTGTCACCACATCAGGCTGGAACATATTCAGCGGCTGTCGTCTGGGCTTACGAAATCCTGTTAGTCTAGTGAGTTGTGATAATCAGGGTGAGTATTGCAAAATTTGCCTCAGACAGAATCCCTTTTAAATCTCATTGGATATCTGAAAACCGAGCTGACTGATGCTCTGTGCCCTTCCCTATTTACTCCAACACTGTTGATGCCCTGTAAAATTTGCTTGGTGACGGGCAGGTGGATCTGACTGTTTAGTGAGTGGCAGATGTCTGATGGGTAAACAGAGAAGGTGGAAAGGGGGGAGGGTGGAGGTGTGCGTGGGAGGGGGCGGGGGGTGTCGAGGGAGGATGGGGAATCCAAAAAAGGGGTGACAGGTGGAAGGAGGGAGAGAGGTGGGATGGGTGGAGTAAGAGATGTATTTAAGAAGCCGTCCTCCACGTCCTCCCTACCAGCTGAAAACTTCTCCTCTCTGCGTCTGACCAGCAGGATAACACCCAGGTAAACCAAAAAGAAAAAAGAATAGAAGTATCTTTTTTGGGCAGATGTGTATACTAACTTTGTCCCTGTCATTTTCTGAGTGTATTTCTGATGTTGAATGAGTTGGGGCTGACTTTTCTCAGAAGTAACCATTGCACGGCATGCTTTTTTTCCTTCTTTTTCTTCGGGCAAAGACACAATTGGGAACTTTGTTTTATTCGCTGATAACTGTAAACCCTCGGTCTACCTGCACATCCGCAGGCTGCAGCTTTTCTGATTCTGCTGATTCCCTCTATTTAGAGAACTAGGTCCGACGGCATAGACGGATGTGAGCTGTGAGTGGCAGGAAAAGCCCTCACAGTTTAAAGGTGATGTAGGTTTCAAGACCGGCAAGGACTTACACCTGTGTCGAGTGTTTTCTGCCATCCGGTCGAGCTAAAGTAAAAGCCAGATAAGGTTGCCTGTGAGTGTCCCGGTTGCATCTCATCCTGTGGTCGGGCTTTTTAGCCTGCTCAGCTTTCACTCGTATCAGCTAACTTCCACGTCCGACTGCTGGCTCCCAGAGGTCCTCTCACAGGGACAAAGAATCAAACCGATTGGGGATCAGTTTATCTTAGTTTATTTTATGAGGACTGCTGTTAGGGAGGAAGGTAAGCAGAGTAAACTTTAGACTAATGCAGGATTCGCATTTCATCAAACACTTCATGAGTCAGTAGGTCAATCATAGCAATCTGATCGTGTTTTTATCTGGCTATTTCTCCCCCAGCTGAACTGGTATTCTAGTTAAGAGAGATACAAACGACAAAGCACCGACAAAGGCTTTCACCTGTATTGATTTTTCCTCACTGGACTTATCTCACAGGCTTAATGAGCACTAACAAAAAGCTACCTGTCACCCGCTTCTCCTCTCCAGAATGTCTTTGCCTAACTCAGAGAATGCCTCCACCCTGGAGAACGCCATGCAGCTTATGATCCAGACCTTCCATAAATACTCTGGAAACGAGGGGGACAAATACACACTGAGCAGGGCTGAGCTCAAAGAGATGCTCACTGCAGAGCTTGGCAACTATCTGGGGGTAAGGAAGCACTTTGAATACACACAATGTACAATTACATGTATAAGACAGTCTGTGGGATTTTTTTCATTTGTCATTTCTATCCTCGCACATGCAGAATGCCCAAGACAAAGAGGCCGTGGATAAGGTCATGGGAGACCTAGATTCTAACAACGATGGAGAGGTAGATTTCACAGAGTTCATCATCCTGGTTGGAGCTCTTACTGTGGCCTGTAATGACTTCTTCCTGGAGTACAAGGACAAGCCGGAGAAGAAGTGAGCACTCCCCTCAGTCCAAAGATAACCGCTCTGCAAATTCACATCCTCATGCTCCACCGAGAGATCACCCAAGGCAGGAGGGAACTCCAATCTAGAAACATCTTGTAATGTGACCTTTGCAGGAATTGTTGGGTGTTTGTGGATTTGTCTGCAACGACCAGATTAAACTGTTTTATTGTTGCAATATGAGCTATCATTGTTGTGAATGTCAGTATCTCCCATACTCTCTCCTTTCCATGCATTTTGTAACAACTTCAAGCTGAAGAATTTCCACCCTGGAAAGAATAAATGTGAACTTTACTGAAACAATGCAAAGATGGCTGTGGCTGTGCTTTATTTGAACAAAACACAAGTAAAATCAAGTGATGGGCACCAGGTGGCAGTAAGTGGCCCCATTTTGCTACCGTCTGTTTAGTAACAGGATTATAACAGGTCAAATGAATAACTAGAACAATTATCTTAAATATAAAATAGAAACACAGACAAAAGAAAGATTTATAGTGATCCAAAAACAACGGAATGTGTATTGTTTGAAGAAAGAAGTGACCGCTGAAGTGATTTCATGTCCAAACGGGAAGCACCGTCTTTAAATGTCCCGTTTGTGACATCGTTTTTTTTTTAATCCAGCTAAACTGTTGTGAAAATCTGAATTGAATATTTCTATTTCAATTTTTGGGTGTAATATTGATGGAACTAGGGTATTACAGTTGATTTATGTAATTTGGTTTTGCACAAGAGAAAAAAAAACACATGCCACACAGACAGGATTACTCTGAACCTACAACCTTTATTGGACTGGTTAAGGTGTGCACAGGAGCAGACTTTAGAGTCCGGAAGGGCAAGGTGAAAGTTGAGGGAGCATGATCAGAGAGGAAGTGAGTTAAGGAAGGCGAGCATAAAGGTGACAGAGCGCAAAAAGAGAGTAGGCAGCAGCACTTTCTCCCTGCTGAGCCATGCAGCCAACAGTTTTCACAGGTCTCTGAGAGGCTTTTCACACTCATTCAGGATCTGACGGGGATCCCCACTGGTAATACCGTACTCAAGAGGCAAGGAGGGAGGTGACTCCCAGTCCAGAGCTGAGGAAAGCAGCAGACTTGGCCATGTAACTGTAAAAAGCCTGGGAAACTCACAGCTGATGACAGTGATGGGGATGAGACAGCATTTTCTATCAGAGCTTTAGAGTGCCTTTCCAATACAGCTACAGCACTAAAGAGTCCTTACCAATGTAATGTCTTGCTTTATTCCAATCCTTATCTCATTATTTCTCTTTTCATAGATTTTGCATAACTTATTGCCCCCTTCACTATTGGCCCTCTTGGCTTTTTTCCCTATTAAATTGCACATTGGCCAGAAAATACCCTTTGCCTCTCAGTTTAAGAACCTGGCATGATTGTGGAAATAAAACAAATTAGTTCATTAGTTTCAGTAACAAGATATAGTGCATAAATGAGTGGGTCACTCTCATGGTAAATGGAGAAATATTAGAGAGTGTGTATCCATGAAAGACCAAATAAGGAGAGGAAGACGGGAGATAAGTCGGCGGAGACACATAGACATTATGCTCGTCCAAACATTGTATTTCACAGAAGTGATAATACAGAGAAGTATGGCATTCATTTTAAACCTCTGTATATATATATATATATATATATATATTTATCTGTCTTACTCTAGTTTGACAATCAGAGTAATGAATTCAAATAACCACCAGTGAAAGCACATGTTAATACACCTAATTGTTCAGTATCCATTATAAAACTCCCATCTGTTCATCAACATGGTTTGATTACATGTTAGTTTACACGATAGTTCTCCTTTCTTCTAACTCAGATCTAAATACTCCTACTTGGCGATATCACATTCCACTGTCAGTCATATGTAAGCTCTATTTTTCCAAAGTAAGTCTCTTCAGCCACTTTGCTCTCTGACACAGCTCGGCTGCGCTGATCTCCACTTACTGTGCAAAACACCCCAAACAAAATCTGTCCATGCATAATCTATTACCTTATCTCTTTGACTGTTCAGTAATAATGCCTCTTGGCTCTTTCATCATTATAAGCGTCCCGTATGTGTTTTCCTTCACACATACTGTTAGTGTGCACATCAGAGCTGCGCAGTACAGTTATTATCACATTCTTTTTATATCTGTACAATCATACAACACACTTCTGCCTGTTCACCAGCAACAAAACTTGGCATGGGCTAACATAGAGAAATCTTTATAATATATACTATAAGCTATATTGTGGCTGCTATGCTATATTAAAATATACTGAATCAGATCAATGACATGGTGGATTTATGATAAACAAAAAGTAAGTAGTGGAATTTCAATATGAACCACCAATCTCTTTCCGATATAACGTCAGTCCACAATGTCTGTGAGGGATGTCTCCTGTAGTTAGAAACTGACACGGTATGCATGAGTTTGGCATTCTGTTGACTGGCTGGCATGAGGTTCAACAGGACGGAATCCAAGTGTCCTTACTCCCTGAAAGGATGAAGAGTGGGCCAATGAGGAAGCTTTTTTTTTATCAAAAAGGGAAGGTAAGTCTGTTTCGCATCTGGGCAAAAAAGAGCAGGTTTGATGATGTTTTCCTTCATCCTCACACATAAAAAAAACTATTTTTTGCTGCAAAAACATTGCCGTAAAGTTAATGGGCGTGATTGCTGTTCAGTGGCAATTTTGATTCCAGTTCCGTCGACACAGTAAAACTTTGACCCATCCCCCCCAAAACACATACAAACACACACCTCTGGCCCACGTCCCACTGTGCTGATTGGTGGGGGAGCTGTCTGTCAGCGAGTTCCTGGCTGGGGATTGGTCAGCCTGGTGAGGAGGTGATGGTCTTAGCTGTGTAATTCTGGAAAAGGGGCTGCATGAACATGCCCAATGTGCCAAACACGCAAACAAATACAAAAATCCACAGGAAAAGGCGGTCGATCACCATGGCAACGTACTTCCAGTCCTCGCTCACCTGTGGAGTGGATGAGAAGAGATTTGGTGTGGGGGGAGAGGGGGGGGGGCAAAAGGATGTGGGACATGGTGAGGAGAAAGGTTAAGGTGAGCAGATTCCCACTCTGGTATCCTGTTATTCTCAGTGAATTTGTCCGTCTGCCTTTAGCTATGCAGAGGGTTAATGGAGGTGAATGGTTAATGTGAGCGGAGACTGGTTCTGGCCCACAGCTCTGATGAGGTGCGTCACCAGTCAAGGAGGAGGACAAAGATGTGAGAGAAGCGAGAGACTGAGGACACGCAGAGGCAGATGGGGCCCTGACATTTGAACCCCTGTGATGATAACTGGAAGGGGATGGGAGAAGAGGCAGGATGGGGAGGAGTGCGAACAACGACAGGCTTTGCTTTGTATCAGAGGAGGGAGGGTTTTAGTGCAGTCGACATGGCAACCAGTTGGTAACTATGGAGATGATGGGCAGAATTAAAGAGGATTGTCGGTTTTTGTGTCAGTTTAAGAGAGATGCTTGCTTTTCTGAAATCTGTCGAGGTAAAGCAATAACAAAGAGAGCCTGTCTCACTTTGCCGCCTCAGCTACTTCTTCTTTATGCGTACGTCATCCCGCTGCTATCGTTACATATCTGTATCTGTGTTGGATATTCACAGGGCTATGACTGCGTCACCAGATCTGCCTGCATATCACACTCTTCTGCGCTTCTCAAGACACTTTTTATGTGTTATATGTATTCAGATTAGGAAACATGACTAATGGTAGAACTTAATCCGCACAGAGAGAGGATGACTCAAGAGAGAGTAACACACAGGTGTACTGATAGCAGCTGGCACCATTATCGCAGACTGCATTTGTAAAGGGGTGCAGAGATATTGGTTTGGCTACATGGAGGGTATAAAATCATTAATGTTAATGATCAGATCGTTTACAGGGCTGTCTCGTCTATGGACTGGGACATTTTTAACAAAAAGAAAAAAAAAAACACCTATTATATAATGGTCTGATTTGGCTCACCAAAAGTTGCTAGATTTATTTCGAATGGAGCCAAGAGTGGCTAAAGCCTTACTGGTCAGTCAGGGAGCGTAGTGATAATTATTTGTGTGCTTTTACTAATACAAGAATGAATACGTTTTAGGAATGATGAAAAGATTTATCGGGCCAGCTTAACAATGGCAAGACTTTTATGTCATAAGAAAACTTAATGTAATTTATTTTATATTTTTCGTCACAGCCAGTGTAACTATTCTAATATTAGAAATAGGATTCATAGGGCTCTGACACTGGGAAAGTGGGAAAACTACTGACAGAGATAGTGTAATACTCACGCTCTGATCGTCATCTTCACTCTTCATGTGGTTGGCAATAAAGCGTACTCCTTCCACAGCTTCCTCAAAGCCCGGACAGGCTTGAGCCAGCAGGCTCTGAGTCAAAGCTGGCCCTCCAGCTGCTTGCTTCCCCCTCTGCGGGTTTCCAGAGGCACCCTCTCTGCCTTCCCTCACCCTGTTCAGACTGTCCATCGAACCCCCTCCAGCTCCACCAAGATCCCCTCCAAACTGTTTGACGGAAGCTCGGTTCACGTAGCACGTACAGGGCTCGCCGTCTTCCTTGCCAAACACCGCTGTGGAGGTTCCCCCTCCAGTTCCGCCGGCGCCGCCCAGCCCCAGCCCCACCATCAGGGCCCCCGCCTCCCCGCCGCGCCCACCCTCCTTCTGCTCGTGCGCCCTCCTTCTCTGACGCAGCCTCTGGCGCTCACAGCTGTTTTTGGGCTGGCGCATGAAGAGCAGGGCGGGGAGCTTGTTGAGGAACACCAGTTTGACCCAGGGGGGCATGGTGTGTGTGGTGGGGGAACGGTGGTGCACGTTGAGCACGCACACGCTGGTGACTATGGAGAAAGTGACCAGAACCATAGTGAACATGAGGTACTTCCCCACCAGAGGAACATCCAGCGAGGTGGGGGGGACGATCTTGGAGATTAGCAGCAGGAACACGGTGAGCGCCAGCAGCACCGAGATGCAGAGCGTCATCTTCTCCCCGCAGTCGGAGGGCAGGTAGAAGACCAGGATGGCCAGCGACGTGATGAGCACGCAGGGAATGATGAGATTGATGGTGTAAAAAAGAGGCTTCCTGCGGATGACGAAGTCGTAGGTGATGTCCACGTAGGCCGGGTCGGCCGGGTTCTCGTTCCGTCTGCCTGGCAGGGCGATGATGTCCCACTCCCCGCTGGGCGTGAAGTCGTCCATGCTGGCCACGTCGGCGCGCAGCACCAGATCGATCTCCGTGCGGTCGTAGGTCCAGGAGCGGAAGCGCAGCGTGCAGTTCTGCTGGTCAAAAGGGAAGTGCTTGACCTCAATCTTACAGGCTGATTTATAGATGGCCGGGGGTAGCCAGAAGATGCTGCCGTCGTACGACACCACTGCATTAGAGTAGAAGGACACTTCGTACACCCCATCAGCACTGAAAGAGATAAATGGGAGGAGGACATAGAGGGGAAACTGTATTAACAAAGACATTTCTGTGACAATGTTTCCACTGAATCTGGTGAACAGCAGACCGCGATGCGTCTCATTTAATCAAATACAGATTCAACAAAACAGTTCAGCTATCACCTGGTCCTGCTCATATAAACATAAGGACCAGGGGTTTAGGATCAAATTAGCAGTCTAGACAAGTGACACAGCTCATCAGTCAGATTGCATCAGACTAAAAAGCTCGAGTTAGACCCCTTGGTCAGAGGTCACAGTAAAACATTCAAGTTACAGATTGAGTTTCCACTTCACTCAATATTTAGACAGAACAATCAGCTAAATGTTTGGCTAATGTTTAGCTGCATTATGTAACATAACCATAAGGGAGGATGCCTCATCTTCGGACTCAGCTTTCTGTGAGCCATAATCTCTCCGTCAGTTTTAATAACAAAACAATCAAGACGTCCAAAACAGCAGCTCTGTCGCTGATATAAGCTGAGCTAATCCTCCTGTTCAAGTGACTGACAGTGTTTGAGACCGGGAGGATAGTAAGCCGACCTGGGGTACGGAGGATTAACAGGATCATTTTATCCAGAGTTAGGTGGGTCAGTGATCTTTTAATCTTCTATAAAGCAAGGACTGAAGCCAGGAAAGAGGAGAAGGCCACACAGATCATCATGAGCTGATTAGCATGTTGCCGGCTGACACTAAGTTTTCATTTCAGTCCAAGTGGTCTGCAACATCCGTACATTGCCCTCTTTAGACCTGCTGCATATAGCTAACAAACAACAGGGGGTAAAGTTTTCCTATGGACGAGACAGATGGTAACTGCACTTTACACACCTCATTTCATAAATGCTGCAAAGAAAACTGCAATTAGGACTATTCATGCTTAGTTTTAAGGTTTCATGTATTGGGACTCATAAAAGAAAATAATCTCTTGGCCTTTACAAAACCCTAAAGTCTTGGCCCTTGTGGCTTTTAAATATCTTACGTGAAAAACTGTAAGTATTTAATATGTAAAACCTTTAGAGTGCACTATTTTCTTATGACATCTGCAGCATGCGTATGCCCTCCACAACTCTTCAGGGTGTCTCCGTCTTGATGATGTCTCATGACGGGGATGAATAGCATTTTAACTTGAGTAATATACTTATACTTATATACTTATGCTCTCATTCTAACTAACTTACGAGGATGGCAGCTGGATTGGCTCACCACAAAGTCATCTTAAAGGCAACATCTATTGCATACGAGGCTTCTATTGAGGTTTCTATCTTATTGAGCTTTCATGCATTCATGAATCTCGTTGAGATTTCAAGAAACCTCCCGAACAATGGGAGTACAGAAGTGTGAAATGATAACTCACTTGTTGTAAAGGACCACGTCAGGCAACCAGATGTGCTTTGAGGGCAGCCTGACCTTCATCATTCCATCAAACTCCTCGGGGACCCACGTCAGCCGATAGTCCTGCCACTCCTGGAGGTCAATTAAACAAATGCTGACAAACGTGCTTTGTCACCCATCCGCCAGTCAGACAGCAGTAAGAACATGACTTTTTGTTTGTGTGTAGGTTGGAGATTAACATAACCCATCAAAATTTCCAGAGAACATCCTGTCCTCCGTGCCATCACCACACTTTTAACTACAATCCAAATACAAAGTCAGAGTGACAGTCATTTCTGTAATGTGTTTTAAACACAGCCTGACACAAACCAGCCTGCATGATTAAAAGTCCAACTCCAGTAATGTAGATTCCATGTTCCATGCATGTGTGTGTTTGTGTGTACATGCGTGCATCAGCAACCACATTCTCTGTGTAAAAGTCATTATGCTGTTCTCTGTGTGGTGGGTCAGCTGTTCACATAGTCTCATGGAAGCCTGTGGAACTTGTAAAATTCAAGACTTTGTGGGTGTCGAGGTGAAACGCCCACGTTTTGTGCAGTAACCGTAAGGCATTGTGGTCATTACAGTTTGTCTTGGCTCCGGATAGCTGTCCTTGGCCTCCCTACTTTCTGATGGCAAATAATCCATAGAGCACTGACGGTCATTCTACGCTCTGTTACACGTCATGAATCCTAGCTTACTCAAGCACAGCTAAGTGTGTGTGTGTGTGTGTGTGTGTGTGTGTGTGTGTGTGTGTGTGTG